TGTAAATCTGATAATATTGGCACGTCCTATTAACTCAAGCCCTAACACCCAATGCATGCGATATTGCAACGCCCACGGCTCTCAATGCAGCATGGATAGCGACTACAAGGGAGTGGTTACACTCTATTAGTCAGGAATTCTTTATATCATTCCAAATATTGCACCTAGATTCCAGCCATATTTCCATAAGGTAGCAGAAGAGTCGATTGGAAGTGGATTTGAAAGTTAAAAGCAACTTAAACGGCAGTTTCAATAAATTTAAAGCCCGAAGTTGTGTTTAAGGTTTTACTCAAGTAATATGGAGAAAATTATGTAAAAAATTTTTAGTCCTGTTGCTAAGTTAAAGACTGTAATATTTTTTTCCTGTCTAGCTACCTCTATGAGGATGGAGGTACCACAGCTTGACGTAGAGGGAATCTCTACATTAGAGGAAAAAATGTATATGAAGTTCCGCAGGGGGCGGAAGTTGACAAGCAATATAATTGTGTTAGATAGTTTAAATCAATTCCTATGTTAAAATAATCCAGTTTAAAATGGAATGTAACCATGCACGATGACCTGGTTCAGTTTGATTTTCGCCACTGTCACAGCATTTCTTGTTTATACATAATGAAAAAACACGGGGAACTTAATGTTATATTATATGTTGATGACTGTTTAGTTGCCTGTAAGGACAAAGCCTTTTATGACGAAGTAACACCTTACGGGGGATCTAAATACGACAATAAAATCCTTGGGAAAGTTTGTGGGGTATTAGGAATAGACCTTGTTCAAAGTGATGATGGAATTAATTATTATCAACCAAAAAAAATATATTAATGACATCATAAGATTTAACATAAATGACCCAAAGTCACTTAGAAACGTCAGCTTAGTCGAAGAGACATGTCTAGTGAAGCCCTAGTCGACTTATCGTACAGAGAATTAATCGGCTCTTACTCTACTTAGATACTGTAGCTGGTATATTATTCACATTTGGAAAATAGCTAGAAAGGCCAGCAGACCGTCTAAGTCTGAGGATCTGTCAACCAAAAACTTAATGAGATATTTTACTGGCACTAAGCGTTATAGTATTATTATAAGAAGCTGGGAAGGTTTAACTTTAAAGGATACGGCGATAGTGACTATGGAACTTGTACGCAAACTGAACGCAGCACCACGGGCTTCTGCATAATGATACGCCGGTGACTTGGAAGTCAGTTTTACAGAAGATACAGCTCTGTCTACAATGGAGGCAGAGCTTATGCCACGTTTGAATACCTAAAGAGAACGTATGGTTGAAGTTCTTGTTAAAAGAGGTCGCAAGCTTAGATGACGCAGGTTCAGTATTTGTGGATAATCAACTTGCAATTGGGTTTGTCATGATTCAGAGCATCATGTAAAAAAATAATACATTGATATCCATTATTTTCAAGTCGAGAAAAGCCTAAAGCTCAAACCGTTCAGCTTAACTATGTTCCAACAGAATACAATCTCTCTGTCGTATTAACTAAAATGATTCCTTCACGAAGCTTTCAACTTGTACATCTGAATCGTGCTATGATAGGGTTGTGTGTTAGATAATAACTACTATAGAATAATAACTGCTGTCATATAACCCCATAGTGATAATTAATTTTGTATTTTGAGTCAGGGTCTATAATAGTATATATATTTCTCGTGAAGCTCAATAAAATTTATCTCGTTCCGTTTCTTCCTCCTGCTCACGTGGTTTTTCCCTAGTTTCATTTAGAGGCTGTTTAAGAGATATACCTTTATATTATTTGACATTTTCAAAGATGTTTTTTATTGTATGGATGACTCATTCAGGGTGTTCTATATTCAAGTTAGTGATTAGAAAAAAATATAGAAAATTAGGAACAACAATTAAAATATGTACTTATTTAAATAAAAATAACTAATAAGAAATAAATTAAAATAAAGAGACAGGGAGAGATAAATTAGAATAACCGATCGGCCCTTGTTTATATTTTTAATTTAACCTATCATTAAGTAATCTATAATATCTGGATTAATTCATAAATTCATTGTTGATTGGAATATTAAGTAAAATCTTGTTGAGGGTACTTAAAGCTAAAAAGTAAAACTCGCAATGAATATTTAACATTTATTTTGCAGAGTGTTTTCAAGTTAGTGGAGTCCTTACTTTAAGTATGTCATTCTAAAGAAACTTATTTAACGGAGAACACATAACATAAACTTGATAATTAGTGATTCCCTTCGTAACCTTCTTAAATTGTATCTAGCTGCAACCACAATGCCAATTTTTTTAAAGCTTATTAACCTATTAATAAAAGTACTTAAATTAATAGGATTGGGACAAGATAAGACAAAACTTAGTTGACCTCCTCTGCCTCGCCTGGCTTTTTCATATGGTTTATTGACAAGTATTCTTGAAAAAAAAGTAAAAAAAAAGTAAAAGTTAAAAATGTAAGTAAAAAATTACACAATTTTGTAATTTTTTTAAAGATAAGTTTATATTAATAATGAGCTTATAGAGCTTTCAATTTATATTTTGTCATATTTTGGTAACATATTAAATTCGAAAATCGGCGCATTTTTGCGACTCATTGTCTTCGCGGACGGTGAACTTCATGAAGAAACGGAAATATATAAACTAGTAATAACATATTTCTGTGATAAACTCTTTAAAAAATTGTTGAGTTTTAACTAAAATATATCTACAAAGTTTTTCTTATAACCAGTATGTACCTACGAGCTTTTCTTAAACCGAACCTAAGCAATCCTTTTTTAAACTGCTAGACCGTTGACGATAAACTAGAAAGAGTAAAACACTCATCGAGCAAATACGAGCAAAAACAAAGCTGAAAGAAAAACCCCATTTTCCCTTATTAACCGTAAAATTATATTTATACTCTAAATAGATAGTAAATCAAACACTCGTGATTAATTATAACATAGCGTCAAATATAAATTAACTTAAAAATGTATTAATTAAGTTTGGTGTCAAATGAAATTGTATGTTGTAATATCATGTAGTTAAGAAACCCTGATAAAACAAATAAAGAAGAATTACTAAAAAGGTCTATTTATGAGTCCTATCTATATACTAAAATTTCGGGTGCTGCCGACCAATGAAATTGGGGACCTCGACCAATGCGCTTCCTTGCTTTTGTAATTATTTTAATTAAAGTTTTTTTTTGTTTTACAAGATTTAATTTTCTTATCCAAAAATTTTGGCTTGCTGTGGCCATTCTATATTTGGTAATTTTTACTTTTATTTTTGTGTTTTGTATAGGCTTAAAATTTTTAATTACCACACCCTCTGATCTTGTACAACAGAAACTTTCAAGTGAAAAAAAAAAAGAAGTTGATCTATAAACTTTTTAAAGGAATATCCTGATAAAATTTTAGTTAGACCATCAGTATGAATTTCTTTAGTAGGACAATATCGGGGTGTAATTCCTCCACAGATTACTTCTTTCACACAATGATAAGATACGTCTATATGTACGTGCATTGCTGGTTGGTCGTAAATCATTACTTCTAATGGTGCTGCGGACCTGTTAATTTCCTTAAAAATTGTTAAAGCCATTTTACATAATAAGGCAATATATTTTGCTTCGTTGAATGAAGGTGCAATAAAACTTTGCTTCTTAGGTTCCCAGTTTAAGGAAGAACCGTTAGCCGCAGTGACTGCTTTTATCATTTCAGAACTAAAGCTGGAGTCATTATACATTGTAAATTACACTTTGCTTCCTTTTACGACCCTTAATTTATGAGATTTTGGGCCCTTTAAATATTTTAGAACTTGTTTGCCGGCTTGCCATTGTTTTTACCTGTAAGTCGTAAGATGAGAGAGTTTACCAGCAGCTAGAGTAATGTCGGGCTTCGTACTGTTAGATAGGTACTGCACTGATCCGAGTGGTTCATTGTAAGGACCATGGATGGCTGTAGCTTGCTTAGGTAGTTGTCATAGGTGCCAGGCAATTTTTGAGTTTAAAAAATTATACTCAGTTAAAATTGTTAGATTGCTGCCGTTTGGTCTAAAGAGATTTCATTTTCAGTAATATTAAATCTAATAAAGCTAGTATTTGGTACTTCTTTGTAACCAGAATATAAGGCTTTAAGTAGCCTCCTAGGTCAACTCTGTATCGTGTTTAAAAACTCTTAAATCGTCGACGTAAAAAGAAATAATGTATTTTAAACAGAAGTCCATTAAATAAAAAACGCATGGCACTACTAGTGATTCCGTTATAACCAGCTTGTCTAATTTCATAGAGTGCTTTATTCAAAGAAAGACATTTCCCTGTTAAATCTTGTTTGCAAAATCAAGCAAAACCAATAATTTTACTAATAATTTTACATCCATATTGGCTTCACAGATGCATTTTTAAAATAAAATTGTAACCTGTTCAATTAGTTTTAATGTCTAGAACTATCAGAAGTCTAGCTGTTTTTCTTTAAATATAACAGGACTTAAGGGTTGGTGATTGTCGATTCCAAAGAGCTGTTTGTATCTTTGAATACTAATTCTTGCACGGTACGTGACATCTTCCTTCATTCTAAACGTTCCAAAAGGTGTTCTTTAGTTCCGAGTGAATAGGGACCCAGATATTTTTTAAAGTAGTATAACGCGAATTTCAGCGCCGAACATAAAGAAAATTAATTAATATATTTAGAGTACTGAAGGACAAACTTCAGTTATAAATATTCACAAAATTAAACTCATTCCATGTAAAATAAATAAAATATATTTTTATTTTAAAATATCGGTGCTATTAAATATTATCGCAATAATAAAAGTCAATAAGATATGCCACAATAAATAATGGGCTAGCATAAGGACTCCGGGGTTGTAGACGAAAAAACCGGAATTGAAGAACTAATCAAAATTATATCCAGTCAACTTCGTTAATTTTTTAAAAATGACCTATTATAGTAATATTGTAACTATCAAGCTGCAGGTAAAGCCACGTGGTGCAATGGAGGCCAAGTCAGACTGTTTTTATCTTAAGCTTAGCAGTAGCGAACTTCATTAAAAAGCTGTTGAAAAGCTTGAATGCTTTACAATGATAATGCTGTGATGAAGCTGTGAGATATTATTTATTAGTTATTATACTTAAAATAATGCAAATAATGTTTTTTAATAATAATATTTGGTTTTATGGTAGTTTTTTATAAATTTTAAATTAGAAGTGAATTTTTGTATGTATCGTAAATAATTTGTAATGATTATAAAATATACTAAAAGGTTAAATGAAAAAGGCGATGTTACCGTTTCAGCTCCCATGGTGTGCCTAAATTTTCTTTATATATATATATATTTTAATTATTACAAGCAGGTTCGCTATAGTAAACTAGCTTTTCGATGTTTAGTAAAAAAGTATAGCACGGATATTTCCTATTCTCCGATGGTAAAGCGTTATAATTATTTTTTAAATATAAAAGTTATAAAGTTTTTACAAAAGTAAATTATTTGTTTAATTTTTTTACTTAAGGGATACTTTTGTAAAATATATTGAACTCTTTACGATTATCTTTGGGATATTTTATTAGACCTAAAAAGCAGATTAAGCAAGTATATATATTTTTAAGAGAACATAAATATTTTTATATACTTTAATTTATAAATTTATTGTTATAGATAATTTCCAAATGCTTTATACAATCGAGTAAGGCAAGAGACGTTGAATTTAGGACTAATGCTTCTGATCGGCCTCTAGTTTTACAGTTTGCTGCTAATAATTCTTCTGATTTTGCAACTGCTGCGAGGTGATTGTAGTTCATTTTGAAGACTATAAATTTTCAATTTAAAATAAATTTATTGAGTATAAATGTTTCGCTTCTAGATGATAATATGTTTATAAGAAATCTTTAATATAATTTAATATTATACCTGATATCTTGTAATTTTTATTTTATATTTTTTAGTTTACTGTAAGGATTATTGCTTTATGATATATCTATAAAAAATTGGTAAACAATTTAAATTAAAAAAATTTATTTAATATTTTTATTTATGTAAAAAAACTTTTTTTTCTAATTATTATTATATGAATTTCTCTACCTTTCACAGTATAGTTTCTAAATTCTGCGATGCGATAGATTTAAATTGTGGCTGTCCGCAATCGTGGGCTGTTCAAGGCGGGCTTGGCTCTGCGCTCATGAAAAATCCTGTTAATATTTTTTAAAATAAATTTTTATATTTACATAAAAATATATTACATAATAAAAATAAAATATATAATTTTCAACTAATAATAATAAATCTAAATTTAATAAATAATTTAATTAATATTTTTTCATTATATTTTAAATTTATATATATAAAAACTAAAAAAAATATATATTAAAATTTTTTTTTATTTTAACTGAATTGGAAATTTTTTTTTCTAATTTATTATTTTTTTTATTTTATGTTTGAGATTTTGTTCGTTAGTTTCAATAATTTTAAATTTGTTATTGAAAAAAAAGTTTTTTGTGTAATTTTTATTAATTTATAATTTTTTAAGTTTATGTTTTATAAAAAAAAATTTCGTTTTTTTAATTTTAATAATTTTATTTATAAAAATTAAACAAATGAAGAAAAAATGCTTGAATTTTTTTCTTTACATTTTTAAATTAATGTTGATAAGAAAAAATATTCGTTTGTTAATTTATTAATCTTTTAATTAATTTTTTATTAAAATTTTATAAACTTTTGAAATTTTATTCTTTAATTTTTGTGATCGGTTACTAAAGAAATTTTGAGATTTTTATTTTTATTATTTTATTTTTTGTATTTTTATTGGGAAATAATTTTTTTATAAAATATTTCAATTTTTTTAAATTTTTGTTCGATTAATAAAAAATTTTGTTTTTTAATTTTATTTTATTTCAAATTTTTTTAATAAAATATAATTGAATAAGAAAAATTTTTTGTAAATATTTAATTTTTATTAAATTATTTTAATAAATTAATATTAAGAATAAGTTGATTTTTTTCTTTTTTTATTAAATTTTCTGATCGATTTTTAAAAAAATTTCGTTTGTTAATTTTATTTTTATTTTTTAAAGTTTATAATCGATTAGTAACAAAAATTTTGTTTGTTAATTTTTTAATTAATATTATAAATTTCATAATTTTTATTATTTTTTTAAATTTATAATCGATTAGTAAAAAATTTTGTTTATTAATTTTATTTTTCTAATTTTTTTATATTTTATTGATTTTTAAAATTTTTTTTTTAAATATTTTTACTTGTTAAGGAACTTATTTCTGCAATGATTAAAGAAGCTTACAACGTTGTTGCCGTTCCAATTTCTTTAAAAGTTCGAATTCTTCCAGATGAAAAGTTATTTTATTTTTTTTAGATAATAAAATCGTTAATTATTTTCTCTTCTACGTTTGTTTATAAATTTTTTCCTGTTAAATTTAAAAAAGTTTCTCAGACAATTTTTTTAAGCTGAAAACCAGCTAAAAAGTTTTTGTTTATTTTATTATATAACTATTTTTTCTACTTTTGTTTAAAAAAATATATATATAAATTTTTTTTTAACTTTTATTAAAGTCTTTTTAATCATTCGTTTTAGAATTTTTTTTTTAGCTGAAAAAAAATCCGTTTGAAAAGTATTTTGTTTATTTTTTATATATAATTAAGCGTTAATCATTTTTTATTCTGCTTTAGTTTAGAATTTTTTTTATTTTTTAATATTTTTATATAAAGTCTATTAAAGTTTTCTTAAACATTTTTTTTGTAAAAAAATCTGAAGACCATTTTTCATTCTACTCTTTTTATAAGTTCGAAATTTAACATATTTTATTATTTTTTAATTCTTCATTTTTTCTATTAATTTACTCTGAAAAATCTAATAATTATTTATAAAAAGTATTTTTATATCAGTTTAATGAAAATGTTTTTATTCTACTTTGAGAATTATATATAAATTCGTTAATTTTTTTAATTTTTTAAATTTTCACGTTTAAAATTTTCTAACACAATGTAGTGATAAAAAGAATTTTGTCGTAATTTATTGTATAGAAATATTTATATCAACTCAATTATTTTCTATTCTACTTCTGTTTAGGTTTTTTAATTATCTCGAATTTAAAAAATAACAATTTTTTCTAGTTTTATAATTTAAATTTATTTTTTTAAATTTTTTTTAAGACTTATTTGGTTAAAATTTAATTTTTGTTATTTATTATTAATTAAAAAAATTTTGTCTAAAATTTATTTATTATAAATTATTTATAAATTTCATTAAAATTATATATATTTTTTTTAAAGCGGAAGATCATTTTCTATTCTACTTTAGATTTATTTTTTATTTAAAAAAAAATAAAGAACAATATAAATTTATATAATAAAACTAAAATTTTATATCATGAAAGAAAATTATTTTAAGAAAATAAACTCGTGATTAATAGAAAAAAGATCATTAAAAAAAATTAAGTTGTAATTTATAATAATTAAGGATATTATAATTTTATTAATTAACATTATTTTATTATTATAACATAAAAAATTTTTTTTGTTCAAAATTTTTTTATAAATCATATTAAATTATTTTTATTTATTAGAGCAGAAGACTATTTTTTATTCTACTTTTCTTTAGATTCTTTTTTTAAATAAATAAAAAATAATAATTTTTATAGTTAATTAAAATATTTTTTATATAAAAAAATTATTTAATAAGTTTGAATTAAAATTTAATAAACTTAATTTTTAATTAGTAGGAAAAAATTACCAAAGTGTTAACTAATAATCAAGAAAAGTCATTTTTTTTTTAATTAATAAATATTATTGAATATTTAAATAATTTTTTATCCAAAATTTATTTATTAGAAACATTTATATATAAATTAAGTTTGAGCGTTAAATATCATAAAACATTATGCCTTAAAAATTAATATATTAGAAGTATTTTTATATATTATTATTATATACAATAAATAATTTCAATTTATTGTTTATTTATTATAAATATTTTCATATATTATTAAAATTTATAATATAAAATACTTTTTTTTTAAATTTTTTTTTAAGTTTAACCGTTGAATTCGCCCGGAGAGCCGAGATGGCTGGTGCTTCTTTTATTACTGTGCACGGCCGCACGCCCTATGACAATAGTGCGCCAGCCAATTATCATTCAATAAGACTGGTTGCTATTTAATTTATATGATTGCTTGTTTTTTCCCTTAATTTCATGTAATTTTGAGGATTTTCTTAAAAATAATCTGATTGGTTTATAATTTTATATTTAAAGTATAGCTGGCTTGCCTTTACGTTGACTTTCGTCTGTATAACCATAATTATCCAGTATTGACTGCTTAATAATTTTTTTAACTGATTTATATTTGTTTTATTCACAATTTAGTTGTTATTTTGATTAGCTTTCATTGGTTGCTTTTAAAAAATCTGATTGGTTTAAATTTTATGTGATTATTATAGTGGGCTCGCTTTTTCCTTTTACAATTTACGGTAATTTGATTTGTCTGTGTACCATTTTTTTACCGGGAGTGGCTGATTTGTAAATTTGATGATTGGTTTTTTTTTATACTAAAAATTTTTTTTTTGCTGGCTTACTCTTCTCTTTTGTAATTTAAAGTAATTCTGATAATTGGTTGCTTTAAAGTTCTATTATTGGTTTATTTTTGTTTATAAATAAATTATTAATTGGGTTAATTTTTTAATTTATGGTGGTTAATTTTCATGAATTTTTTTATTGGGTTAGTTGTTAACTAAATTAGACCTTTTCATTACAAGTCAATTTTATTTGCTTTATACGTTGGTTAATTGGTTGTTTACAGGAACTGATTTAAAGAAGTTTGATTAATTTTTTGTCTATGTGGTTATTTGGAAATTTTTATTTTATTTTTTATATATTTTAAGTTTAAAACTTTTTAATATTTATTTTTCTGATGTATTTTTACATGAAGTCTCATTGGTTACCTAATATGGTTGTCAACTTTGTTACTCATTGATTATCTTTACATAAATAATTTTTTTCAATTGTTGTTTAATTAGCAATTTACATATCTTTTTTGCTATTTAAAGAATTTAGTTTGATTTTTTATTCACAAAAAATATATATCTCTAGCTATTTTAAAACTTTAATATGATTGGTTTGTTAAAAAATAATTTTTTAAAATTTAAAGCAGTTTTTTATGATATTATGATCAGTTAATAGTGTAAAATACTAACTTTCATTGTGTTAAGTTATATATATATTCTTTAAAAATAATATAATTACACATTGCAGCTTATAAATTTTGCGTTTTGTAAAAAAAAAGTACAACGAAAATATAAAAATGTTAAAGATATATTAAAACATTTAACATTTATTATTACTTTTATTATTGCAGTAAAAAAAAAAAGTAATAATAATAAAATAAATTCATTTTCAATTTTATTTTTTGAAAATTAAAAATTTTTAGTTTCAATGTTTCACTAAAAATTGTATGTTTTTAATTTTTTATGGGCGTATAAAAATTCTTTAAATTTTTTTAGTGAATTTCCAGTTACGGATTATAATTAATAAAAAATTATAGTGAAAGTTTAAAAATTTTATTTTTATGTAAACTTTTGCTTTTATTTAGTGTTAAAGAGTTTATATTTTTATATATTTATATTAAAACTTCTCCGTATTCTGTTTCTTTTTCTATTATTATAATGTTAATTTTACTTAGAAAATTATCTTTTTTTTTTTGTGCTTATACATATTATACTTCAGATATTTTTTATATTATTTAACGACTATTTACGTATTAAATTTTTTTTTAATAATTCAAAACTTTTATTTATTTTTTATTATTTTTTAATAAAAAAAAATATTTGCAGGTAAAAGAAAACGTTAGTATCCCTGTTATTGCTAATGGAGACTGTTTTTCCGTAGAAGACGCTCAAAAAATTTGTTTATTATTATTCCTATAATTATTATTAATACCAATTATTATTATAATCTTCTACAATTCACTATTTTATTTAGTTTACTTTTATAACTACCAACAATTCATTATTATTTTTAGTTACCTTTATACTATAAAACAATTTTTTTATATATTACTTATTATAATTACAAACAATTTATTATTTTTATCATTATTTTTTTTAATATTTTTTTGCAATCACCGACAATTCAATATTTTATGATTTTTTTATAACCTTTTCAATTTCTAATTTTTATCATTTTTTTTATTATATTTATAATCTTCAACAATTCATTATTATTTTAAGTTTATTTTTATAATTGCCAACAATTTATGATTTTTTCACTACTTTTTTTAATTATATTTATAATTAACAATTTATTAATTTTTTTTAATATTTTTTTATAACCCTCAATAGTTGATTATTTTTTTTAATATTATTTATATAAACATGAACACTTCCTTATTCTATATTTTCAAACAATAATTTAATAATATTTTATTTTAAACAATTTATAATATTTTACATTATTTTTTTCTAATTACATTTGTAACTACCAATAATCCATTAATTTTCTTAAAATATTTTTTATAGTCTTCAACGATCTAATAATTTATTAGTCATTTTTATAATCATAAATAATTCATTATTTTTTCACATGTTTAAACCATTTAATAATTTTTATTATTCATTTTTTTAATAACCATCAATTTCTATTTTTTTTTTCAATATTTTTTAATGATCATAAAAAATTCAATATTTTTTTATATTTTAAACAATTTATAATTTTTTATAATATTTTTATAATAGCCTTAAACATGCAATGTTATTTTTATTTTTATTAAAAGATCTTTTTGTAATTTTTTATAATTTTAAAAAGTTCTTAATTTTGTTAATTATTTTTATATTTATAGTCACCACAATTTATTGTTCTTTAAATCAACTTAATTGTCTTAAACAATTCATTAATTTTTTTATTTAATCTCCAACAACTTATTACTTTTTTGTCATTTCTATAACCACCAAGAGTTCATTATTTTAGTGCAGTTGACACGTGCTAATGGCGTGATGGCTGCTCGAGGGCTGTTAGCTAATCCGGCTATGTTTGCTGGTTTTTTTTTTGAATTTTAAAAATAATTATCATTATTAATAGTTTTTATTATTTTATATTATTTTTGTTATTTCTTATTATTATTAATAATATTTATTTTTCCTGTTTAATAATATGTTATATAAATTATATATTATTATATTTACTTTGAGCATCAATAAAACTTTTTCTTATTAATAAATTTTATTATGTATTAATATATTTTTGCTTTAAATGCATTTATAATTATTATTATTTTATTATTTATATTTTATTTTTTCTTATTTATTTTTATTATTGTTAAAAATGATTTTTTTAGATTTTCTATTATTATATTATTTTTACTTGTTATTAAGTTTATAATATTTTTTCAAAACATGTATTATTATTTTTACTATATCTATTATATAATTTATTTTTACTAAATTGTCCATTTATTATTATTTAAATTAATTTTTTTTACTATAACACTACTATATTTATTTATTAAACTTATTATTTTTATATATATTATAAGGTTTATTTTTTTGCTGTAATTATTATTAACGTTATCATAATTACTGTTATTATTATCTTCTTAGTAAATATATTATTACTACTAAATAATTTATTTATTATTATTTTTCAGGTTATAGTTATACTCCTTGGCAGTGCGTGCAAGACTTTGTGGATTATTCACTTTTATATGGAACTTCTTTCAATATTTTTCACCATCATCTTATTTTTATGCTGGAAAAAGTTCTAAACAAGTTCGGTAATAGAAAGTTTTATTATTATTCATTTATAAAGAATTATTTAGTTTAAAAAGTTCTCATTATTATTAAAAAACTTATTTATAATAAAAGTTTTATTATTATTATTAAAAATATTTATTATTAATAAGTTTTCACATAATTTTTGTTATAATACTTTTATAATATCAAAAGTTTTTCTATTATCTTTCTTTTTTTTAATATAAAGTTTTTTATAGTTTTAATAATATTATAATTAGTACGCAAACTTTTTTAATTATAAAAAGCTTATATAAGTTTTATTTTTATTATTATTATACAAACTCTTCTTAGTAATAATTATTGTATGAGTTTTATTATTATTATAATACAAACTTTTTAATAAAAAGTTTAGAATTACATGAATCATTTTTTATAAAGTATTATTATTACCATGTTATTATATCAGTTTATAAATATTGGGAAAGTTTTATTTTTATAATTATTTTGATAATATTATATTAGTTTTTTAAATATATAAACTTTTTTATAATAAAAAGTTGTATAATTAATACCATTTATTATATTATTATAAACTTTATTATAAAAGTTGCATTATTATTATTAATATTATTATATTATATAAACATTTTATATTTTAAGTTATTAGAATATAATTATTATTATCACTATGCAAACTTTGTCATTATAAAAGTTATATTATTATTTACGTAATATAAACTTTTTATTATTAACTTTTATATAAATAAATATTACATATAGAAAAGTAATTAAAGAAAAATTATATATTAATAAACTTTTATTTAAAAATGAATAAATAAAAAAGTATTAATATTTTTTATTATTATGTAAACTTTATTTTATTTTAAAGTAATATTTATTATTATTATATAAACTTTTTATTAAGAAAGTTATTATTAAGTTTTATTATATTTTTTATTCTTATAAAAATTTATTGTTATTCAAAAGCAACATTTATTATTATATAAACTGATTATTATTGTTATTTTTATAATTCTTATTATAATTTATATTTTTATTATATAAACTTTTTATTATTAAAAAAGTTTTGTTTATTAATTTTATTTATTTTCTATTATAATATAAACTTTTATTATTAAAAAGTTATATTATTAAGATTTCTTATAGTTATTATTATTACTGCAAAAATTTGTAGTTTGATGTAAACTTTTTATAATAAATTATAATAATTAATTAATGACAATAAAAGTATTTTTTTTTAATTTTTATATTTTTTGTGTTAAAGTCTTTTTATTAATAGTTTTTAAAAAAATTTTTTTTATGAAACCTAAATTTTATTAATAACTTATTTTTTAAAAAGTATTTTATCAAATTTAACACCATAATTATTACATAATAAAATATTTTTATGAACTTATAACTTATTTTGAAAGTATTATAATAAAAAAGTATATCTTCAAAATTTTATTATCATATAATAAAATATTTTTCATAAAACTTTATAATTTTTATTTATAAATAATTTATAATTAAAATATTCTTAATATATAATTAATTGTTAAAATGTATCACGCGGATACATATTTGCATCATTATTTGTTATGCCATCTAAGATTGGTGCGTTTTTATCGGAGGTAATAATCTAGTAAGATTATTACCATGTGTATGTATATTGACTCCTAATTTTACTTTAAAGTCGCAAGCTGGGCCCCCTTCCTTTTGGGTCAGGAGCTCGTGGCAGGCAGTGGTGTGAGCTGGTGTCTGCAGGAGGTCTCGGTTCTTGGGCCTAGGGCTGCCTCTCCAGCGGTGGTTTTTAGCGGATTTCCACCACACGAGGCTGAATGGCGGGAACCCGGGCCCGCTACTTCCCGATTTTTAATCCTTCAGAACAGTCGTTATACCTTTACAAAGAGCGTACACTGGTGGGGCACTCGCTTAAGGTTTTTAAGAAGGATTGGCCGTAGTATGCCAAAAAAAAAAAGTCATCAGCTTTTGCTTTCCGTTCCCTGTTCTTAGTAAACTATTATAGTTTTATAATTATATAATAAAATAATTTATATGTTATATGAATTTTTCTGATAATATTGCTATAACAAAAAAATTATTTTTATTATTAAAAATATTATAATTATTATTTTATTTATTTCTTAAAAACATAAATTTCTAATAAATTTTTTTCTAATGAAGAAGTACACTCTTAAAATATTATAATATTTTTTAAAAAATTTACTAATTACTAATAAATACATTATAATATTATTTGTTTAAAACATTAATTATAAATTTTTTTTATAAACTTAGAATATCTTTATTTATATATGTTTTATAATAAGAAGTAAATTTATAACTATTATTATTATATGATTAATTATTAAGCTTACAATTTTTATTATAAAATATTATAATAAAAAAAGTATCTCTTAAAAATAACACTATTATTATATTATAATAATTTTTTGAAAGAAATTTTTTTATAATTATTATTACCAAAAAGTATACTTCTAAAAATTTTATTATTATTATATAAGATAATACTTTTTACAAAAGTCATTAATTTTTTATATATAAAATATTATTATAAATAAAATAAATTTTTTAAAAATTTTATAATATTACTCAAAATATTTTTTATAAAATTTATAGCTTTTATTAATAATTATTATAACAAATTTTATTTATTAAAGTTTTATAATTATAATTTTTATATAAAGTATTTAAATAATAATAGTAGTGTAATAAAAAATTATTTTATAAACTTTTATTCGTTTAAGTTTTATATTATGAACAAAAGATTTTTAAAAGATTATTGAAAAAAATATTATTTTTGTTATGAAAAGTATTAAAAAAATCATTAATATTTATAAAATTTATTACTTTTTAAATATTTTAATAATTTTTTTAGAAGCGAGATATTTATTTTTTAAATATTTTTTAAATAATAAAGTTTTATGCAATATTTATTTTTTTATTTTTTAAAGTAATTTTTTATTGTAATAAGTAAATGTTTTATTATTAATCTTATAATATCAAAAAAAAAAATTCTTACTTTTTATATTTTTACAAAGCAAAAATTTATTAGTGAAATATTTTTATTTAATAACGTTTTGAGATTTAATTATTTATTTTATAGTAATTATTAGTGATAATAATCTTAAAGTTTTAATATATTATTCTTAAAAAATAAATATATATTTTTATGTATATTAAAAAAATTTATTACTTTTTATTATTTTTATAGAAACAAAAAAATTTTATTGATATGATTTTATTTATTAAAGTTTTATGAGAATATTTTTTTTATTTTTGCCATAATCGTTATTGAAAAAACCTGAAAATATTATTATATTTTTATAATAATATAAAGTATTTTTTTAATATTGTAAAGTATATTTTTTCTTATTTAAAAATTATTAGAAAACTTATATACTATTTTTATACTAAATTTTAGTAAAAAAGTTTTTTAATAATATTAATTAAATATTTTTAAAAAATTTTTATTATGAAATACGAAAAAAATTATAATAAAATTATTGTTATTATTAAATCTTTTTCTTAACAAAGGGATTTGTTATATAAATTTATTGTTTATATTTAAATTTATTAGTTTAAGTTTTTTTTTGAATTTATTGTAACAATTTTAAATTTAATTTTTTAATAGAATTTCGAGAATTTAGTACGTCCGCGTCGGTGGCCAGCGTGCTGGAGTTTTTGTCTCGCTATGGAATCCACAATCACGAATAAAATATTTTAATAATATTTTGTGATTTTTTTGTTATTGACAAGTTGATTATTTAAAGATTAATAAAAATAAATTTTTTAACACGAAAAAAATATGTAAAATTATATGGAAATATTAATATAAAACAACAAAGTTATTATATTTTTTAATTTCGCCTACTTACAATAGAAACTATGGTGACCTAAAGTTAATTGGAGTACTTAGAGTATTAAGATATTAGATTTTTATTAAAAAGTAGAAATCAGATTCTATTTGTAAAGCGTTAATTAACTATATAATTTAGTATAAAGCAACTTAGAGTCCAAAAAAATTGGGATTTATAAAGAGCAGCATAAAATCTTTAGAATGAAGTATAAGTCCATCACTTTTTAATGTAGATTTATTATTAATGACATAAATTATAAAGTTTTTTTAAGTTATTTATTAAAAGAGGTAAGTTACTCTCTTGCCGTAGCAGGAAAAGTTATATTAAATTTTTACGTATTTAATTCTGAGCGAAGTTTATAAAGTTATTAAAAATAAGATCAACAAGCTGGCAACAGACTTGTATAAAATTCTGTAGAATTTAATAAAGAAAATAAAAAAGGGGTCAGGGACATTTATAAAAATATAAGAATTTTAAAAAGAAAAATAGTTTTTCCTTACATTATTTAAAACACGTTTTGTATAAGCCCTGAAGAATATAATACATAAGTTGAAAAAGAAGGAAAATGTAAAGAAATTAAAGATAATATTAATTACCTTGTAAATACTGCAATAGTTGATAAGGATAAAAATAAAAGCAAGGGAATTACAAAAAATGAAAGATTTGTATAACTAAAGAGAACTAGTCACATGATTTATTTTTTGGAAACGCTTCTTATAAGTCTAGCAGAAGTTAATAAGTATAAAAAGGCAAAGGAATTGCAACATATATATATAAAAGGAAGGATTTTAGTTACATGTAAAGTTCATTTTGTTGTGGCCCTTGTATAAACCCAGCAGAAGTTAATAAAAAGGGAAACGGCAAAAGGAATGTAATATATATATTAAAAGAACGAAAATCAGACAATTCGAATCTAATTTATTGTGGCCCTGTAAACCCAGTAGAATGAAAAAGGGGAAAGAGAAAAGAAATGTAAGAAAATTAGTAGATATATAAAAAGGAAGAAATCAGTTACATATTTTTTTTATCATGCTACTTTCGGTCTTTTATAAAAGTTCAATCTATTTAATATATACTTTACTAAAAAAGTTGAAGAACGAAAGTTTACCACTGCGGAGCGCTGCATAATACTTATTTACTAATATTTATATTTTTAAAATTTATTAAAAAAGAAAATTAAAAAGTTATGCAAAATAAGATTATAACCAATCAACCTAGTCGTTTTTGTGTAAATGTTTTTAAGATTAATTTAAATATTATCACAGTAATCATATTATTAATTTTTCGAAGGTTAACTTTTTAAATTTAATTTTAGCGCCCGTTGTAAAGTTTGTGTGTTTTCTTATTTTTTTTTTTTACACAAAAAGCTGATCTACATCAAACCCGTCTTTTATATACTTTCTTTTTACTAAACCGTTTATAATCATGCGAATCTTCTAGAAAAACGTATTGCGAGGTCTACATTGGCTGACACAGATAAAAAAAATTATGCTTTAAATACTTTTTTTAACTTTCTCAAGTCCTACTATTCTTAAGTTCGTAAATTACTTTTTGTGGCGTAAATAGCTACCTAAATATTTAAACAATTCAGTTTGGATACGATTTCTCTCTAAAAATAAAAGGTTGCTTTTGTAAAAAATAATTGCCGTTCTCCAGCGGGCAGTAGAGGATTTTACATTGTAAAAGGAAGATTTTCCTACTAATTTTTTTTTGCAAAAATTTGATTTACATTTAAATAAGTTTCTCTGCTCAAAATTAACTGAAAAATTACTACTGTTAGTAAGAATTAGATATTAGTAGAGTTAATAGGAACAAATTTATTTATGCTGCGATTTTAATTTTTTTTAAACTAATTCTTCATCTACTCGATATCAGGGCGAGTAAATAATATACAATAATAACAATAATAAAAGCGGCCTCACTTTTAAGTATAACTTTCATATATTTGTCGATGTCGAGCCCAAATAATAAATTCAATTAAAAATAACAGTTGCATACGTAATTCATGAAAGAGTTGACGCGCAAAGTATTGAATGGTTGCTCCTTCATGAAACTATGGGAACTTCAAATATTTTTTTTTAAATAGGTAATAATTTAGTTATTTAACAAACTGTATAATATCTATCTGTCTACAGAGTATAAATTATAGACTTCACGCTTTTAAATATTGCCAAATGGCAAGTACATATTTACGTGCGCTTGTAGTGTTCATTTATTTTTTTTTAAAAAAAAGCTATTATTGAAGGAATATTGAGTCAAACTTTTAGAGGAAATACAAATTTAAGCCTTCAGAAAATCTTTTCAGCGTAAAAAGCCTTCTTTCCAGTTGAAGACATAAATTAAGCGGATTCTTCAGATATAACTAAAAATGAAACAAAGTTTGTTGCAGTTACCATAAAAAAAAACAAAATAGCAAGCAAGGAACTATATGTTATCTGTTTATAACGTTACTAATTCGTACAAAAAAAATTGGTAGAGGCAAAATGGATGGGCTAAGCTATACAAGTAAATAAAGGCGTACCGTCAGATCACCTCAACAGAAAAACGTATTTAGTACGAGCTATTTCTTTACAAAATTTTTTTTTTAAAGAAATAATAAATGGATCAAAATAAAATTAGTAAAAGTAAAGATTTTGTAGTCAACGGTAAAATAACAATTATTCTATCATAAGGAAAGTCAAAATGTAGCGTTGGCGTTAAAAAGTTTGTGTTTATTATAACGATATAAAAAGAATGCCAATCATTATTTTTAATAACGAAATAACATTAGGAAAAAGTAAAGAATTTAGTAGTTAACAGTAAAATAAGAATAGTCCTAACAGTAGCCATGAAAGTGCTTTACATAAAAAAGTTTATAATTTTGTAATTATTACTATATAGTATAAACTTTTTATTTGTTATTAGTATTATTATAATTTTATATTTTTTTGTTAGTTAAGTATTCTCGAATGTTCCCGAATGTTCCCTAATGTTCATAATTAACCCATTTACTTGTGGGCGTTGGTGCTTCCGCAGGTTAGTTGATTCAGTGCGTGTCGTTTGAATATCTGGCGGGCCACGCGGTAAAACTGTTGATATATAAATCTTGTTATTCTTCGTACCTTTGTAGGCATTATAGTTAAACTAGACGAGAAAGTGAGAGTTTTAACTGAAATATAAGAAAATTTATAGTTTTATTAAATAAAAATATAAACTTTTTATATCATATATTTTATATAAAATTATTTTTTCTTTTGTTTCTATTTTGCTTTCTTTTGCTATTTTTCGTAATAAACCTTAAAACGATCTTAAAAATTATAAATACATAAAAAAGTCTAAAAAAATCAGTGCTTATTGTTATTTTTCTTTGTTTGGCGTTTACTCCCTAAGCTTGCATAAACCTTACAAGAGTATTTGGAGAGTTGGATCCTTACCGACTTTTTTATCAAACGGGAAAAATACTTCTACTACTGGGATGTTTATTGATTATTTTATTTTTACCTAATAAAGCTACAGCCTAGTCTCTTTTTCTCTACAAAGCCTATACATTAATCTGACCTTGTTGCGACGTTACAGCAGATGTTTGAGTAGTTCAATTAGTGTTCATTTAGTGTTCATTTAGTGAACAACTTGTTTTGGTAAACTAAAAGCTTTTATAAAATCTCTTTGGTCTTACTTTGAAATACCGCAGAATTTCGGTTTTTAAGTCGTAATGTAAATTAAGCTGGGAACAAACTATGACGCACAGCTAATTTTAATAAAAAAGTTATACTTTTTGAAAATAATATATTTAAAAAAATATGGTAAAAATAATTTAAAAAAAAAACATGAGGGTTGAATGTTGACCAGACACATATCACGCCACAGATATTGCGCGAGACTTCAACGTCGTGAAATAAAAGTGGTTGTTCCGTATATAAGGCAGCTTTCCTAAGAGATAAGTAATTATATATATGAGATAGCTAGTTTACTCTTTTTTTCGTAATATATATCATAAATTTGTTAGTGCTTCAAGAAGTTGGTACTGATTGTAAGGGGAAGGTTAAGGAGTTAAGCTTTATAGTTTCAGGTAATGATTATGGCAGCATTCTTTAGAGGATTAACAGTAAAAAGTTTGATCTTTTTCATGTATGCTTTCCTATGTTAAACAGCTAGTGAAATTAATGTCAATATGTTATTATTGTCAACAAAGAAAGCTGAAGAAAATGTAAGAAATTAGCTGCTCCAAAATATTTTAAAGGTCGATCGAAATAAATGATGAGTAAAAGCAAAGAGCTTAAAGATAAAAATGTAAATTTACGAACATTCCTTTATTAGAGTTAATTTTAAAAACTGCTTCTTTTCTTTTGTTTTAGCCAGTTTTCCGCAGTACTTGTTAGGCTTTTGATTTTATCTTAAAAAGTGTATTACCACTTTTAGATATTCTTTTAATCTTTAGTGCCTTCAAGCTTTTGGAGGTTTAGACACTTCTCTGTTATTAAAAATTAACAGGAATGTACTGCCTCACCATTTGGGAATGAGAAGAGATTGATTAAAAGAATTTTGTTTATGAACTGGGATTTTGCTCGTTTTTTAAACAAGACAATAGGAAACCATTGCTAAACTTCAATGGCAGTAAATTAACGATTCTCTTATTGTAAATAGTTACAAATATATTGTTTTTGAATTTCAAATCTGTAATAAATTTCTGTATAACATTAAATAATAATGGTTAGTAATATTAAAATAAGGCTGTAGTGAGGTACTTTATAATTTGTGACATGAAACTACAATATATGTTTTTAAGTACATCTTAGAAGGCGATTTAGGAAAAACTATATAAAGGGTATTTCAGCTTGTTTTTCCTAGATTTGAAAAAAATATCTTTACTGTAAATTTTCTTATTTAAATAATATAAACTAAAAATATATTTAGCTACTTTATCGTTTTTTCACGTACATATTAAGCCGCTTTTGATAAGCGTCTATCACTTTTTCTTTAGTTTTCTTATACTTTAACTATTAAATGCTTTTTTAAGTTTATTAACCCTTTAGCCCCTTGTTTTAAGTGTTTTTATATAAACTAAGCAGCTGGAGCTTCGTGTAGTTAATCAGTTTGATCTTGTCATTAAAAAAAAAAAATAAAAAGAATACTATTTCGTGTTTGCCTAACTTAAATGGTGTGCATTTAATTTTCTGTTAAGGTTTTTTCTTGTGTTAAACTTACAGCCTTGATAACTTCAAGAATATATTATATAAAGATTAAGGGTGGTTAGTTCAATAAAATAACAAAGAAAATAATAAGAGTTAGTTAAAATTAAAGAAGAGCTGTATAATTTAATTGATTGCTCTTGAGTCGCCTGGGTGACATAACGCTTACCACCCTACAGACACTGACCACAACGACAACGCCGGGAAGTAAAACGGAAAAACACGATGCTCATGGCATCCCTTAAAACATTAATTAGGGTTGTGCCCTCAAACGGCCACCCACAATAATTGCATATGACGTTAAAAAAAGTTGTTACTCTTTTGTTTTATAATACAGAAAGACCTTAATTACTAAAGCCTTTCTTCCTTTTTTAAAAGTATATTTAATTTTACAAGTTATCCTTAACTTTCGAAAAATTTCTCTATTTTTCCCGAATTTACTACGCATAACGTAACTTTGATGATAAAACAACAGTTATAGGAGATACAGAAGCACTGAAGTCTATATTAATTTTGTTAAGTACCTCACATCGAGACTTCTTTTAAAACCGTTGAAGATAGAGACCTTTACCGATTTAAAAATCTTCTTTAACTACTGATTAGGAGAAAAGAAAAATTATACGGGAACATTTAAAATCACTGAAGTATATATATATAAGCAATTCGGTTTTTAAAGTTGCTATTTATAAGTGTTGCTTTTGGTAAAGATAATGCACCACTAAAGTTTAAACATTTTAAAAACCAGAAAAGTCTTCGCCAAATTTGTTATAAATAGTAAAAACTAACCAGGAGCTTTTAAAAACTACTAATATTTAAATTTTAGTAAGAAGAAAAACTTCGTTACGGCTTTTAAAAAAGAAAAGAAAAAGGTTTTCTTTAGGTTAAAAACCGGCTTCAAGCTTATTTACGCTTATTTATTCTTTATGATACTAATTTTTAGGTTTGAGGTATAATAATTGGATCTAAAGCTATACAGTGAATTTTTTTTTTTAATAATTTTTGTACTTTCTTTCGAGAATTTTTATTTTTTAAATGGTATTGTTAATATACTTATGTACTTTTAAAATTTTTAATATTTTTCTCAGAGAGAAATGCTCAACTTCTAAGATTGCAAAATGATGCACGTATGCACATTTACGCTTTAAGACGTTTCTTTGTTTTAAAATCTAGAATCTTATATCTTGTGAACATTTGTAATTATTAAAGAAGAAATCAGAACTCAAAAAATTTAAATTAAAAAAAGAGGATATCCTTTAGTTTGGCTTAAGTGTTTTTTGGCACGTATATTGTTGCAGTTATTGCAGTTAGAAAGTTTGTAGTCGGATGTTTTAAGATCTACTTTAACTTTATTGTTCGGCGGCTTTGACTTTTGATAAAAAGCTTACAATATTATTTTAAGCTTAGTTTAGTTTAGCTAGCAGTTTCATAGTTTACGTTTCTAATTAATATGGATTAACCTTTTTATTCTTAAGAAAAAAATTAAAATCTTTTTTATACTTTTTTCTTGCATTAACTTTTATTTCCTTTTATTCATAATAAAATTTATAACTGGGCAAATTACAAAAAAGAGTGAAGTAAATTGAAGGGGTGGAGATAAAAGTTTACTTTTACAACCATCCGTGAATATAATCTAACTATTAGTTTGTAGTACATAAATATTACGAGTTAGTAAGAAGTGTGGTTTTATTTTAAAAAAAAAAAATTAATGATTTTAGATATCTTTATTCAATTTTAAAAATATTTAATGCTCTTTTAGAGCTGGTAAATAGCAGTTTACAATTCTTACTCTTTGTTTTTAAACGCGTTCCTCATAGTTATAGAAAATTAGTTAGAGTTCCAGCTACCTAAAAATACTTTTTAAATGTCCTACAATACGGATATTATAAGATATACAAATAGAGATCTGATTATATTATTAGTATATATTTTAACAATAAAAAGAATAGTAAGATAATTAAGAATCATATATATATCTTGTTTAAAAATAAATCAGGTAGTAAATTAATAAGTTAAAATCAGTATTTTTTTGTTTTACAAAAGTTAGCAAGCAGTTTAAATATCAACCAGATAAACTAATAAAAATATTGTTTTGCGAATAAAATGCTCAATAAAGTGTTGAGAAATTTTTAAATTAAGGCTAGAGACGTGCTCACAGTTTTAAAACTTTTGATTATTTACGCCAACCTAAACAGATTTTAATTTATATGTAAAATATTATCATAATAAATCTCTATTGCACAAAAACATGAGATTATTACCAATAAAAAGGAAATGGAATTATATTTACGCTTTAGACTTAATTACAAAAAAAAATAGAAAGTTAGCTCCGTAAGCATAAGGCTTGTCTAGTAAAGGTGTGCGGTTTAACACTTTCATAAAGTGAATTTAACTTTTTTACTCATTCTCTTATTTTTTTTTATATTTTCGCTAAAAATCTAAAATTCTTAAATTTTTTTATATAATACAATTTTTATTTAATCTCTATTTTGGATTTAAATTTCTAAGTAATGGAAACACTCTCAGATGATATTAATATTGATTTACAAGAGATAAAAGGGAACTTACAAGTATGCATGTTTTAATATATGTGGTGTATTTTTAACAAAAAAAGTAAACCAACTTTAAATAATTATTAAAACTAGAAATTTAGAAAATTTAAGGAATTTGAATTAAATAATAGCTCTTTTTAAATAGTCCTGCATCACGTTTCAGAGATCCAAATTTTTTAATATTTAATTCTTAATAATAAAAAAAAGAAGTATACCTCAGATTTTATAATAAACTTTAAAATGTTTCTATTTTATTTATGTTTTTTTAAAAGGTTGCAGATGAGCAAGAAATTGAAAAATTTAATACGCTTGACGAAGATATCTTAACTACTATTGTACTTAATATAGAAAAAAAATTTTACTTATAAATTATAGTTATAAATAATTACTTATTTTACTATTTCATAAATATTATTATTATTGTAAAACTTTTTTTTAGCCTTTCCCTTTGTTTTATAATTTATTTTCTTAGCCATTCTTAGTATAAAATTAGAATTCTAACTCTATATTAATTTGTACATCTTTTCTCTGTTTTTATTATATAACTACATATAAAAGTTTATATATCGCAGAGAAAAAAATTTATATGATAGCTTTTTATAAAATTTTTTTTTTGGGAGATTACTTTATTATTAAACAAGTTTATTATATAATTTTTAAATTTTTTTTTTTTTTTTTAACCTTTATCTTTGTAACATTACTTATTAAAATCTCTAACTTTTATTTTTATTAATTTTATTTATTTGTAGTTAGTAATAACAAATAATAATAATAGTTTAGGGACGTTAAAGAAGTCGGAAAAAAATTTTCATTAATTATCTTTCCGCAAAGTTCACAAAAAAAACTTCTTTTTAATTGGGATTTATGGGGCCCACTTTTTCTTTGCATGGCGCTCGCACTTCTTCTACGTGAAAAGTTTTCTTCTTATTTTTTTATTACTTACTTTTTCAAATGATTTTTAATTTGATTATAAATTTAATTTATTTTTTCAAAAATTTTTTATATAAATTTTTAATTTTTAATAGTATATAATTCTGAGTTTTCTTGTTCCTAGTAATGTTTATTTTAGTTTATTATTATTAATTATTATTTTGACATACTTTTTCGTTTAGAAAAGTTTTATATTTTAATTATTCTTTCAAAATATACAATATTATTAATAATTTTAATTGCTAATTTTTTTAAATTTATCTGTTAGTGATGTTTAATTTATAATTTTTAAAAGTTAGATATTAATAAATTGTTATAGTTTCTTATTTTTCACTCTTTTTCTATTTAAGCTATTTTTAAAGGTTTTCTAGCAGTTTATTTCATTTTTGATTGGTTATTTTAACTAATAAAACAACGTATATATTTTTTAATTTTAAAGTCAATAATAATATCATTATGATATTAATTTATTATATTAACTCTATTTGTTTTGCAATTATAGTTTAATAGTTATATTAATAGTAATGGTACTAATAATAATAATAATAATAATAATAATAATAATAATAATAATAATAATAATAATAATAATAATAATAATAGCAGTAATAATTAATAATATTAGAGCAGCTCCCTCTCAAAAAAGTTTTGTTTTCACTTCAGTTTTTGTAATTCTGTGGATTGGCTCCGCCATAGTCACTGTAAATTCTCAACTTTTAGGTAATTATAATTATTATTAATATTGTTATTTTATTATTATTATCTTTACTTTCAATATTTTATAAAAACTACTTTTCTATATATAACATATTAACATATTTTTTTTTTTAAACTTTTATACGAAAGTATTATTAATTTTTCATTTGTTATAATTACTATAATTGTTTACTTTATTATATATTATAGACTAATTTTTTATGTTAATATAATTATAATTTTAGTTATAACTATTTTTTATTTAGTAATAAATTTTACTTATAATTACTTATTATTTATTATTATTATGGTTACTTTAAGTTATCTTAGATATTTTCTATATATTACGTTATTTTGAAAATTTTGCTATATATTATGCATTAATATATTTTATATAAATATAATTTTTACTTACAATTTTTATTATTATGATGTTTACTTTTAGTTACTATTAGAAATTACTTTTCTTATAGATTACACATTGACGTATATTTATATATTTTTACATTTTACCTAAAATTATTATATTTAATTTGAGTTATTTTTAAAATTTACTTTTCTGTACATTACATATTGAGATATACATATTCACATATTTTACTTGTAACAATAATTATTTATTATTACAATTACTATTTTATCAGGAGGGACTCTTTCTTTCTTTCAAAGTTTATGCTTACTTGGTACATTCACATTTTTAATTTTTTTTTATTTTGAGTAAAGTTCAATTATTAATATTATATTTATTGTTATATTTCTATATATTACTAAAAGGATACTGCAATTTTCCTTTAATAACTGCTGCAGTTAGTAATAGATTGATAACTTTTTTTCTTCAAGGAAGTGCTTATATTATAATAAAAGTTCTTCTTGTTGTTGCTGGCTTTGCTTGGGCTCTTTACGGTTCTCTTTTATTTATTATTATTATAATTATTCCTTATTAATATATTTATTATTATTAATTACTTATTTATAATAATATTCTAGCTTCCTTTTGTTTTCAAAAAGCTTATCTACCATCCAATTACAAGCCTTTGGTTGTCTATCCTCTGGCTCTATTCTATTTTTTGGTTGGTTGCTTGGTTTATTTTGACCAATAAGAAAGAATTTATATAAAAATTGGTCCAGTAATTGCAGTCTAATTGGAAGTTATGAGCTTCAAGGAAATTTATAAAAATATTGGTGGCGCATAATAAAAATTTTATATATTATTATCAGTATTATTTTACTATTATTATTATCAACTCTATAAAAATATATATTGTAGTTGACTGTTTTTCTATAGTAATTACGATTTAGTAATTGAACAAGCACTTTGCGTAAAGCTACAAAGTTTAGATTGAGAAGGATAAGCCACTATTACGTTGATTTAAAAATCGCACAAGGAAAGTATATTACAAACTTTATTCAACTAAACTTCTAGTTTAGAGCATTTATATTAGGAAAAAATAAAAATTTGTATTTAAACAAATATTAATTAATTTTTAAAAAATAGTACGAAGCCATCTTTTCCTCTTCTTGGCATTAAAAAAGTTACTTAGCTATATAACTATTTCTAAAAAAAATTATAACTTTAAATGTGATTAACTCAATACTCAATATTAAATCGTTGCTTAAAAGAATATAAGTTTTATTTAATATTAATAAAACAATTGAAAACTTTTACATTTTTAGAACGAGGACAGCAACTGAGGAACACTCAAACGAAGACTGTTTTTTACTTTGCTGATAAACGGATTTTCTTAAACTATTTTAATTTTTAAAAACTGGAATTTTTAAATTATATTGGAGCCGTACTATTTTAAAATTATGGTCCGAACATTGTAACATAAAGAAAGCTGAGCTTTAAAACTATAGTAACTTTGTAACAGATCGGGTTATTTTAAAGAGATAAACTTAGCTAAAGAAGAACAATAAAACGAGTGTTAATAAGAAACTGAAAAAAAAAAGATAAATTATGAATATCAAAAAAATATATATGTAAACAACATTTGATAATAAAAACAGAATAAAAAACTAATATAAAATAAATAGCACTTTTTTTTTTATAAAGTAGATATACCCCACAAAATGTGTGGGTCAAAGATAAAAATACTTTATTAACTTCATAGTAATAATAAATTATAATTACTCTCTAAAAATAATAATTATTGTTGTCGTTAAAAATAAACATATAAAAGCTATAACAACTGTTAGATGGTAAAACACACGGCAAACAATTTAAAGCCTAAAGTAAGCAATCTTAATAAACTTCCGGTGAAAATACTAAATTTTAAGAGAGAAGAAAAAAAAATTACTTTCACAAGTCTTAATAAAAATTTTATATATAGAAGACGATGAAGATCAGTTAAAAAAAATAGGGCTTGACTGTTTACATCTTGTCCTCACCGTAAAAATACTCTTAATCGTATTTATATAGCTTTGATAAAAGTTACTTTTATTTAAACCCCCTCTAGAAATTATTGAAAAAATACTTTTATTTCATTATAGTAGATTTGGCAAAATTGAAGTTATCTACGTTTTTCAAACGAGTTTTTAAATATTTGTACTTCGTAAAAAAGGGCTAAATAAAAAATTATGAGGAAGTTACTTTATTATCAAATAAATTCAGATAAAAGTGATAAACTATTTGTAATAACTTAAATAAAAATATTCTGTTGAAACAAATCATGTCCTAAATTATTTTCCCGTAATAACTGTAAGCTTCTAAACCTTGGTATATTTAAATTAACATTTACCCCTTACGCTACCTATAGAGGTAAAAATTTCGTAGGTTTCGTAGTTAACTTATTAAACACTTCATAAACAAAAAATTTACTATGGAAATTTATGTTTATAAACAGAATAAATTTATATTTAATATTTAGTGCTTATACTTTTATTAAAAAAGTCTAAAATACTTTGATCATTTAGCTAAAACCAGACTGTAATTAACTATTTATAAAGAGTTACAGTAATCTTGCAAGAGGAAGGTTTAAAAGCTATAAACATTAACTTGGGCTAACGCCAATCACACTCTTAAAGATTTATAAAAGACATAATAATAAGAACGTAAATCGCCGAGTATTTAAAAGGCTTTGGCTTAATTGTATAAAAGCAAGAAAATATTTATAAATGCGTTAGGTGTATACATATAAAATTTATTCCTAACATACTGCAGTAACAAGAATAATTAACAAGAGGAGAAGAGACTAAAAAAATTACGTTTAGGCTATAGTAAACTTTGAACACCATTAATGATAGAAATAGAAAGTTAAATTCTCTCTTTAACTCATACTTTTAAAAAGGTTTTATTAAGGAACTTGTTATAATAAAATAAAAGGCAAAAAAGGAACCATGTGGTACAAAATTGGGAAACTTTTAAATAGTAGAGCCGGTTGCTTATTTTAACACTTATAATTACCAAAAGAAAGTTATTTGGTAGGAATAAAATTTAAAAGGAACCCAGCGATCGCATGGCTTTTGAATTTTTTTTTTTTGTATATTCACATTGTTGCGGGGGCCTCTCGTTGTTTATTACAATTTGCTTGGTGTCTCTCTGCCTTTGCTTCCTCTCCGACGCCTTCCTTTATCTATTTTTTTCTCCGGCGAGTTTATTAATTTGGGATTCTACGAAAATGGTTGAAGTTTCTTTAGACGATCTTATTGCTCAACATAAAAAACAAAACCGTTCTGGTACTTATTTTACACAATCCACTTATATTGGTGTATATTCATTTCTATTAGGCAACAACAGAGGAGCTTTTAGAGGATTCGGGCGATTTAGAGGCCGTGGGAGAAGATTTATTAATCGAAGATCTACTCCATACTTTGCTTCAGGACTGACCGTAAAAGCCTTTGATAATATTAACTCCTTCCGTCCTCTTCCGTACATTCCCATCACAAAGTAAAAGTCAGTTAATGGGTTTTACAGGTTGCTATTAAGATATCCACACCAATCCGTTAAGCTTTTGAGCAAAGCAAATTATTTTTGTAATAAACTCGACGTTTGGCTATTGCCGTTGAGCTTTTTATAGTATTGAATAATAATAATTACGATCATCTAAATTAATTCGAACGTTTCTGGATCTCAATCTTATTATAATAGAAACTAATGATTTTGTAGAAGTATATAGTTTATTATACATACGTGTTGCGTTTTGAATCTGGAATTAAAATTATCACAACGTCGTCATATGGCACATTTGGATCGGTTTTTAGAAAGATTTCTATCTCGTTGGATTGGATATTTTCAATCTTATAAACTGAAAAAGAAGAATTTTGAAATTTTATTTATAATTTGCGGAAGTTGCGGGAGATGGGCCCCGATAGGTTTAACCGTATTATAATCTTGTCATTTTTTTATCAGCGCATGGCGGACCGTAACTGGAATCACGACAAGTTTTTGGGAAATTATAACTCGCAAAGCGATTGTACTATTCTTAATGTTTGTAATCTGGACCCACAAGTAAACGATGCGGACATGCGAGTATGAGCATTATTAAATTGATAGGATTTTGATTTCAATTGACTATTTTAATATAAATTAACTTTTTTTAAATTTATATTTATTTTTAAATTTTATTTTTAATTGTAAATATATATTTAACGTAGTAGTGTTTATTAATTATAGCTGTTTTTAAGGTTGTATTTTATTTAAAATAATTTCTTTAATTTTTTTATGTCTACAAATTATATTTTTAACTTTACATTCGAAAATTTTGTTACGTTTAATGCGAATATAGATTATAATTTTCTATAATTAAAGCAAATTATAATAAATTCTAAAAACATTAATATTTTTTTACAATTATAATAAAATTTAATAAATCTTTAATTGCCCTTAACTTTGTTTTGATCTTAATTATTTATTATAAATTAAATTATAAAGATTTATAATCTAAGTACATACAATAAGACTTCTTTTTTTAATTTACAAGTTAATGATTTCCTGAAAAAGCTAGATCACTAATTGTTTAAATACGATTAATTTTTGAACTTTATTTTCATTGAATTTTTCTGGAGTTTATTAGTGTAAAAATAATTTTATTTATTATAATAAATATATTTTTGAAATATTAATTTAAAAGTAATTAGTTATTATAATTGTGTTTATTATAATCTTAAAAAAAGTGTGAATGAATTTTTATTACAATTTTCTGATGTCAATTGTTTTTAATATTAATAAATCTTTAATATTCTTACTATTTTAATTATTTTTTAATAGAAATTTAGATTTATAGCATTGGAAGTTAACTATTATTAAAATTTTTATTTGTCTTACAACCTACTAGAAATTTAAATGTATAATATTATTTTTTTATATTTTTATAATAAAAATTATTAACTTCAATTGTTAATTTTAAATTTTTTTTTGACAATTTTCTTTTATAAGGAACTTTTTGAAACTATTGGCCCTTTAAAAAGCGCCCACGTTCACTACAACGCTGAAGGAAAGTCGCTCTGCACGGCTGAAGTTGTTTTTCTAAGGAAAGGCGATCCTCTGAAAGCTATTTCGCAGTTTTCTAATATGAAACTCGACGGTCTTTTATTTTTATATTTATTTTTATTCATTTATTTTTGTATTTTTTATATTATAAGTATTTTTGTTATTTCTGCTTATATCCTTATTTTTATTAATAATTTTTATTTTTTTTAATTTTTTATTATTATTTTCATTTATATCTTATTATTGTTGTTGTTATATTAATTAATTCTTTGTGTTATTATTTATAACTTTTATTATTTTATAGCAAACGTTATGATTCTATTTTTTATATGCATTATTTTGATTAGTGATATTATTTAGTAAATTATTATTACTATATTTTTAATTAATTCCAATTTAATACTATTATTATATAATTCTCTAGGAAGAAAACTAGTGCTTATAGATTTTTTTTGACTTAATTCTTTTATTATAAAAATATTATATTAGTTGTTTTTAATTGGTTTATTCTATTTTATATATATTATTAATATGTATTGGAACTTAATGCTAATATTTTGAAAATAGATTATATTTTTGCTAATATTATTAATCATTTTTATTAAAAATTATAATACGTAATAATTTGTAGTATACAGTCTTTCAAATGAATTTCTATTTATCTTTTATTGTTATTTATTAATTAGTATATGAAATTTTTTAAATCATTTATATAACTTGTATACTGAAAATTTTTAATAATAATTGGTTTATAAGCAATTATTTAATTAAATTTAGTTTTTACTTATTTATTGTGGTAAATGTATTAATATTATCATTATAAATAGTTTTCTATTTTATTTAAAATCAATATTCTTATTATATTTATTTATTATATACATTAAGGTCGATTGTTAAAAATGTCTGTATTCGGTGAAGAGCCGCGTGCGCCTCTTTCTCAAAGAATTTTTGATGGTGTGAAAACCAAGTACTGATTTTTTATTATTTAGTAAAAAATATAATGAATAATTTTTTTACTTAACTATTGGTAAATTCTTATTTTATTTATTATAAAGTGTATTATTTTTATTAATTTTATGTTACAATTATTAAATTTATAATACATTTATTTCATTATTTTAATAAAAGTCAATTTTTTTACAATAAAAATAAATGTTATAAACAATTTCCTTGAAAATATTAATTACTAATTATCATTATCCCTATTATTTTTAATAAAAGTCGTTCGTTTCCCTTCGTTGGGCGCCGTGATTATTACCAACACGACCAACGAGGCAACTTCCCAGTTAATAACAGTACACCACGCGGACGGCGATGGCGTCGTGGCGGACGCTCAATGAATTCCTCTAAAACTGTGGAAGAGTTGAATGCTGAATTGGAGTCGTACATGGTTGTTTCTTTTTTTAAATGAATTTTTAATTTATTTTTTAATGAATGGAATTCATAACTTATATTTAATTTTTTTATGTCCTTGCTTTATAAATTTTTGTTTACAAAAATCTTCAAATTTTTTTAATTAAATTTTGAATATATGAATTTTTATAAATTTTTATTGTTTAAATTTTATTATAGATGAAATATAGTTATCATTACTCTAATATATATCTACTAATCACTATTTTTTATCAATTTTTTTCTCAAGACTTTTTTGTTGATTTTTTTTATTTCTTTTATTTCTCTTATTTATAAAAGTTTGTTATATATTTTATTTTTTAATAATATTTTTATAAAATTTCAATTTTTAGTGCTTTTTACTTTTTAATTAATTATAATACTCGAAAATTATAAGATTTTAAAAATTATAATATTTTTAATAAATATTTCATTTAATAGTTATTATTTTTTAATCTAGAAAATATAATTATATTCTTTATTTGTTAAATATTAATTTAAATTTTTTTTTATTTATAAAGAATTTTTTAATATTTTCGTTTCTTTATTATTTATATAATTATCATTATAATTTTTTATATTTTCATACTAATTCTTACAATTTTATTAATTTTATCTATTAATGTATATTTTTTAGAAAAAAGTTTTAATGAATTAATATAATCTCAAAAATATTAATAAAATTTTCTACTACTTAAAAAAATATATAATAGTAGGCTTTACTTAATTAAGTGTTAGAAGTTTATACTCAATTAAAAAAATTAATTTTCTTGTTTCATTATATTTAGTTATGGACAATTTTATACAAAATTATAATAATTATTGTTTTGTTATTATATTATTAAAAGTTTAATAATAAGTTTAATAAAAAAACTTACTTTTTATTCTAATATATAAGTTAGTAATTCAAAATAATTTTAATTTTTTAAAAAATTACTTATTTTTTATAATAAAATTTAAATTAAATTTTTATAATAAATTTTTATAATTTTTTACTTTACATTTTAATTTAAATTTTAGTCATTAATAATTTTATTTTCAATAAAAAATATTACTAATTTATTATAATAATTAACTAGTCATGAAAAACTTGTCTTCCTTATTTTTTAATTTTAGTTTTACTTGAATTTATTCAAATTAAATTATTTTTGGGGATGTATTTCTTTCTATAATAGAATTCATAATTCTATATTAAGTCTGAAACTTAATTATTAATTTAAAAGAAAATTTCTTTATCTTTTAAATTTTTTCAAGGTTTTAATTTTTATTTTTCTTATAGGAGGTTGTGCCTGTCCCTGGAGCTTAGCCGCCTTTTTAATTTTTTTATTAGAAAAAAATCTATAAATTTGTGTTTTGAAGTAAAATTCTTCAATTTTTCTTTAATTCTATAAAAAAATTTATGATTTAATTCGAAGAATTTTTTACTCGTTGCAGATGTCTCCGTTTTCTGCCGACTCATTAAAATTTTAAAGATTTCTCAAATTTATATTTTTAGAAAATTTATTCTATTCTTATAGCAATTTACTCTAATTATCAATAAAGATAGTTTTTTTTATTATATTTATTATTATTTTTTTGAACGAAGGGAATTCTAAGTTTTTTTCTTAGAAAAAATAAGATAAATTAGTTAAACATAAGTTTTCTGTTTTTTTTATTGTATTTTTATTATAAATGTTTTAAATATAATTTTATATACTAAAAGTTAGAAGTTTTTTATAGCTGTTAAATTTCACATAACATGTGGTACAGTTTATTATGTTATACCTACACACCTTTCTTTTAACTAGCCCCAAAATTATATAGAAATTCTTTTAAAAAAAGTTATTAACGCTAAACTTGTATCTATGATTCTTAATTTTTTTATGACAATCTCTTACGGAATGTTCCTTATTATCGCTGTTTTTTTTATGTGCTTGTGATCAGGAGGATTTAGATTTCCCTCTAAAAGTTTTCCTAAGCATTTATTATTAGTGTATTTGTCGATTTGTAAGCGATAAGTAAAGCGTAGGGAATGGTGTTGATTTTAAAAGTGCTATTCTATCCACTTCGCCAGGAAGTGGGCGCCTTGAGCTACGAAAGCCATTTTATTTTAACATTACTTTTGGCTTTTTTGCATATATGTATTATGCCCTTTACAAAGGAATTTTCTTATAGGAAAGTTAACGAATTTTTCATTGTTATAACTTTATTTATGAATACGGTATGTTTAGCTGTATATCTTCTTTTTAGTTTAGAAGGTAGTAATAACAAACAAGCTAGAATTTATGAAAGAATTCGAAAAAGGAACAAGATACGAAAATGACCGTTACCTCTTTATTACCAATGATCTTTAATCACTGCTACGAAAATATAACAAGGATAACAATATGAAAATAAAGTTTAACTATTATTTAGGATTTAAATATGTCAAATGAAGGAATTTTAAACAGGAAAATTAATTTAATAGGTCTATGAGATTAACACTTTTAGTTTTATATTAGTAATGGCCAATGTGTTTATAGGGTATTTGACCGAAAACAAGAGACGAAAACTTTTTGTGATAATTATTTTATCTTTTATTTAGCCAGTTTATTTATATTAAATTTTACGTTAATTAATTTCTTAAAGTGTTATATTGTGTTAAATAACAAAATTACAGTAGCAAAAAAGAATATAAATTAGTATTAATATGTAAAAAGTTTATGGGAAAAATTCTACGTCCTGTAAATAAAGTGTGGACTTTTAAGTGTTTATTTAGCTTAAAGCGTTTTTTCCTGTGTATTTTCTAAATTTACTGATTTAATAGATCTATAGGTTTTCAATTAGCAGGGCAGTTTTTAATGGTTTGAGTCTCGCCTTCTTACGTCAGAGTTACGTGTATTGTTTAGTGACTTATATGTTGCTTTCTTTAATATATATTTTATTATATTTGAAAGCTTAAACTTCCTAACTCTATAACTACTGACTATTTATAACAAACTTTGTTTTTACTCTACTACCTGAGGCGCCACTTTGCGGGCACTGCTATTCCTCGAGATAAAGTTACTGTTGTTTAAGGTAGCTGTACTGAGAAGGAAACTAGAAACTTTAAAGACAAAACTAGCTCACTTGGAGAAAGTAAGTCGACAAAGCAATTATAAAATGACGTTGAGAACTTTCTTGATCAATAATTATAAAAAATGAAACCAATTGTCTTACTTCAGCTTTTAGATGAACTTCGTTTTTAAAGGGAGGGGGTTATCGATGACGCGTTGTGGTAGTGCTGCTAACTACAATAATTAAGCACTATAATTGACCGTGCAGAAGATATGCCTCTTAGCGTGTCTGGTTGCTTGCGCGTGTCCTGTACGCTACTTTACTTTAACTTTCACATTTTTATATTCACTTTTATGCGGGATGCGCGTATGCAAATTTAACTTGACTGGGTCCGCAGAGAGTTAGTCCTTTGCAGTTTATAGTTAATACATTAACGACTGCATAGGTCGGCTACTTAGTTGTAAGCTTTGGCGCTTTTGGTGCCTTGGACCGTTGAATCGAACCTTATGATACTTCGTCAAGTTGAGTGTACGCTCTGCATGTTTGTAACGATTCCTGTCCCGTTGCCAGGGACTTGATAGTGAAAGCGGCCTAACAAGAGGGGCCCTATGTCTAAAATTCGCGTCTGTCGTCGCTCTTATTCTTTGCGGGAACCGGTTGGTTGCGGTCTACGGTGCTCAACTGGGAGCCATCCAAAGGCAGGATAACATATCAAAGTAAATTTATCCTGATCGGTTCATGTCGCCCTCTATTCTACTACGGAGTCAGCTTTGTTGTTTCAGTAAAGTTACTCATAACTCTTGAACTCATTCTGACACTTAAATCCAAAACTATCTCGGGGTTGTGCTTGACGATGGACAAAGCTGGGCTCCGTATCTTTCTTCTGTCGTTTTTGACACCTGACAAACTATAGCCAAAGAATGGTGGTGGACTCCCTTCATTTGGGCGCAACAGTCAACTACATAAGGAGGTGTAACTTTCACGAAACTGACTTACTAGAGCCTGTAGTTCTCACCACAAACTAATTAGACTGCCTCTTGATTATGACTCTGGTACACCAATTGCTCCCGGACAAAACATTTCTCATTCTTATTAGAGGGGTAATATGGCTAAACATATATATTTAATAAACAGTATTAAAACTTGACTATTTCAGTACATATGAATTTGTTATTTACTTTTTTATGTTCGGGGAGTTGTGGCTTTTGCACCATCAATTAGTGGAATGAAAGTATATTAAGTAACGATTGATTATAACTCACGCCTTTAGTAAGTCAGCGCTACAAATAAACAACTAAAAAATGGTTGAGCCCTGACAAACCCCGACTGACGCGTCGCCTGCGGAGAGGCCAAGTTTACACCATCAAAGCAGCAAGAATGATGAGGCGGTCGAAGCTAAACTTCTCTTACATGATATTGCTCTTAAAGTTTTCCATGCATACTTGTAACAAAGGCAGTGAGAAAGAAATTTAATCTTTTTTTAAAGACCCCAGGGTATATTACTATCGTAACAAGAAAAAATGCCCCTCTAAATAAACGTAAAGTAATTTATAAAAGTATAAAATTGAGAGAGAATTTAAAAAAGAAAAAGAAAAAAATAAAAGAACAAGTAAACAAAAAAGCTGTGCGATCTTTGTTATTAATGGGATTAATAACTGTATTATTCATAATTTAAGTAGAAAATTCCAATTCAAGGTTTTCTATTTTTAGTTATTGATTAGTAGAGAACTCAGCGGTTATTTATTTTCGTGTTTATAATAATCTTAACTTTCTCTGTGAACAAGTTATATTAGTGCTTCTAATATTTTGTAAATTTCATTGCGGAACCCTCGTGCTATCGACTAACGCTTATAATTATTTATAAATACGACACCATGAGAAAAGGGTTAAACGTTAAAAAGTTTTTTTTAATTTATTTATGTATGTTTTGGTCTTGTGCTTTAACTGTAATAACTTTAGAGGTAGAAACTAAACGATAAGTTTAACAAAATTGCCTTAATAAAAAAAAATAAGCAAATTATCAGCTTACGACTTTTTTAATTTGTAAATGGAATTCATTGTTTTTTTACTTTTTTTTTTTATCCTTAAAACAGATACTTCTTTCGCTTATTGTTTCAGTTTTTCTTTTGTATTTCTTTGATGGACTTTGAAAACTTTGATATTATTATTATTGGAACTGGGTTGCGTGAGACTATACTTTCAGCAGCTTTTTCACGCGTAGGCCAAAAAGTTCTGCATGTTGACGCTGAAAACCATTATGGATTAGAAGTATTAATTTTTTCATTAAAAGTTATTAATATCAACAATAGTGATACGAAAATTTTTGGTTTTCATTATTTAATTATGTATTTTATTGCTTTATATTTACAAGTTTCAAACTTTAAATTTGAAAGAATTTATTGAAAGGTCCTCTTTATCGAACTTTCAAAGTGATCCGCCTTCAGATGAAAATATTTATGCTGGTTATACAGCATTATATTTTTTTTAATTTATTAATAATTTATAATTTAATTCTACTAGATGAAGGAGAAAAAATACTACATTTACCTCAAAGATTAAGAATTTTCGATAATTTTCAAACTGAAATTCATCATAACGGTAAAGAATTTCCTTCTAATCAGGTTCATTATAAAATATTTATAAACTTTAACTTATTATATGGAAAAAACATTTTAATTTTTATTGTCTACTAATATAAGTTCTAAAATTTTACCAATTTTTTTTAGTCATTTTGGGAAGAATTAATAGGAAACAGTAAAAAATTTTCCATAGATCTTGCCTCATACTTGCTATTTTCTACTGGACCTTTAACAAAAGTATGTTTCGGTCATATAAATACTTAATTGTTTTTTAATTTTGTTATTGTATAATGTTTTTATTTTATTATACTTGTAACTCTCTTTTATACGTTTATTTATTAAAGTTAATTATTTTTTTTAAAAAAAAATTTTTGTATTACATGTAAATTTATTTTTTTTAGATAAATTTATCTTATTTTTTTATAGTTATAAATAAATTTTCTTTTCTTATGTTATTCATTATTTTCCATTATATTTATATTATGCTTGTAAATTTTGTTTAGTAACTTTCTAATTTTTTTTTAATTTTAAAATATACAGTTTTTAAGTAAATGTTTACTTTTATTATAAACTTTTATTTAATTATTTTTTAATATTTATAAAATTTAGTTATTTTTAGATTTTTATTGCATTTTTGGTTGAAGACTGCTCTTTATTTTTTTTGTGTGAATTTATTTTTTATTATTATTTTGGGTATTAATTTTTTTTATAATTACGGTTTCTTTGTAGCTTTTTATAAATTTTATTTCCTTTTGTTTACTTTTTTAGAAACTAAATTTATTTAAATTTAATTATTATTATTTGCATTCTTTTCTTTAGATTTTTTTTTTTTTTACTTATTAGAATTTTATGATCTTTATCAAATTTATATTTTTATTATTAATTGTTTTAAGTTTATTAGCATTATAATAATTTTAAATACTTTTTAATGTAAATTTGGTTTTATATATACTTATTTTAAAAAATATATATATTCTACTTTAGTTATTAGTTGAATCCAACGTTGCACGGTATATTGAATTTCGAGCATTAGATGCCTCTTTTTTGGAAATAAACGGAAAAATTGAAAAGGTGCGAATTTATAGTTTTTATTATATATTATATTATTTTTAATAATTTTTTGTGTTGTTTATTATTTTAATAAATAAATTATTATTTTGAAGTTTCTTTTATAACTTTATTCAAATGTTTTTTAATTTATTAAATAAATTTTAATTCAAAGTTTTTTTTAACTTTATACAAATTTATATTTTTATTTACTATTTTTTTTACATAAAACTTTTTAATAAAAAAAACTTGTGGATTTTTTTTTTTTTAAATTTTTTAAGAAATATTTTAAAAAAGATACATAAATTTTTTTGTAAATTTCTTATATGACTTAGAATTCATAAATTGTAAATTTCTCGGGACTTCGAAAGTAAAGAGAAATTTAGTTATTTATGAATAGTTTCCTTAAGGAAATTGCTTAATCTTTTTTAATAGTTAGCTAATTTACAAATTTCTATATTATATATTTAAAAAAAATGAAAAATATATAATTATATAGAAATTTAATTTTTTCTATTTAAAAATTATTAAATATTTTATAAAAGTAAAAATAAAAACTAAAAAGTTAAAAAAAATTTATAAAAAATTTACAATTGTAAATAAAAATATATATTATAAGAGAAAGTAAAACTTAAAATTTTGTTATAAAAAATATTTTTAAAACTTAGTAGTTAGTAAAAAGATTATATTATATGAACTATTTGAATGTAATAGAGATTTAAAAGAAATGCTAGTAGAAAGTAAAACAAATAATTTTGTAATGTTATTTATGAAAATGTTAATTAAATTTATCTTTTAATTTTATTGCAAAATTTATTATAAAAATTTTTTAATATTAATTATAAAACTATCGTAAATTAGTTTTTATAAATTTTATATAAATTTTATGGTTTAATTTGTTGTTTATTTGATTATAAAAAGTTTATATTAATTATTATTAAAAAATTGTTAATTTGAAATTTATGAAAATTTGGAAATGTGTGCTCAAAAACTTTATTAAAGTCTATTAATTTTTTATATAATTACTATAAAATATCAGATATAGAGCGTTTATAAAATTAATTATAAATTTTTTTTATAAAAAAATTGTTTGATTTGTGGTAAACTTTGTTATAAAATTTTTTAATAAAATTAATCTAAGTTTGAAATTTTCATGGAAAAACTAAAAAGGCGCGCTTAAAAATTGATTGTAAATTTTTTTTTTAAATTTATAATTTAGCACTATATTATAAAAATATTAAAAATTATAATAAAATTATCGTAAATTTGAAATTTATAGGAAAAACTGAAAATGTGTATTTAATGTTTAAGTTTTTTTTTGAAAAAAAAAAAATTCTGTTTTTAATAAAATAAAAATATTTTTTTAATATTTTTTTTATAAATTTTTTTTGCATCTGCTGAATAATACAAATCATTGATAAAATTAGAAAAGAAGAGTTTCATTAATATATAAATTTTTATAAAATTCTTATATTAAAAATTTATTGTAAAATTATATTTCAAATTTTTTTTTTTAGATTTTTTTTATTTAAATTTTTTCTTGAATCTGCTGTAGACTTTCATAAAAAAAAAATTTTCAATATTACAATAATATAAATTATTAATGATTTTGGAAAGGAGAATTTTATAAACCAATCAATTTTATAACTTGTTTTATTAATAGTTTTAAGTATGAAAAATTTTATAAATTTAATTTTTTTTTAAATATGCAGTAGACTATTATAAAAATTTTATAATACTTGTTTTTTATAAATTATTAAATCTGTAAATTTACATAAATTTGTTTCTATAAAAATTTATTTTATTAAAAAAATTAAAAATTTACTTTTTTTAACTTTTTAATTTTTTTTTAAACTGCTGTAGGCTATACTATAATAATTTTTATTAATTTATATAAATTTGTTTAAATTTTATGCTATTAATTTTTTTAATATTCTTATTGAGTTTGCTGTACGCTATATTATTAGCATTATATTATAATTGTTATATATATGCGGTGATATATGAATTATAATAAAACTGAAAAGGAGCGTTTTTAAAATCTGTAAATTATTATTAATTTGTTTTATTAACATTTATATTTTTTATTTAATGAAATAATTTATTAAATTTATGTTTTTAAAATTTTTTATAGTTTTTTTTAAAATATGCTGTAGTTTATTATAAAACATATATAATAATATCAATTATTTATAAAATTGGAAAGGGAACCTTTAAAAATTAGTAAGCTTCATAGATTTGTTTTAATAGAAATTTAATAATGCTAAAATACTTGATAAATTTATGTATTTAATTTTTTTTTAATTTTTTTATATGCTGTAGACTATATATTTAATAACACCTTAAATCATTTATAAAATTGAAAAAGGAGAACTTTTAGAATCTAAAGTTTTTTTATATAAGTTTGTTTCTTTTAAAAAAATTTATGATTTTTTAAACATTACAAATTTATGTTTTTAAAATTTTTTTTATTGAATTTACTGAAAACCCCATTTTTTAATTTTATAAATTTCTATAAAATTACCGGAAAATTAATGATGTGCGTTAAAAATTAATTTTTGTTTACTAATTTTTTTAATTTATTTTTTTTATAAAAAAACTTTTTTGATTTATATTTTTTTCATAATTTTTTTGAATTTGCTAAAATCTGTATATATAGAATTTTTTATTTATTGTTACAAACTTATCGTACACTTAAACTATTATAATAGTGTACAAAATTGTTTGTTTTTAGAAAATTTAATAAATTTTTTTGGAAGGTCTATATTTTTATTTATTTTTTTACTTCTCTATATTTTATTATAATAATTATAAAATATTATAATTATCCTAATTTATATTATCAAGCTTTATGAATATTTATAACCTTTTTATTGTTGATTTTTTAAAAAAATTTAAAAATTGTTAACTAAATTTTTTGAGAATTTTTATATAAATATATATTATAAATATTTAAGTAATTATATAATTATCGTAACTTTTGAATTATAATAATTTATAAGTTTTTATAATATTTTTTAATATTTTGTTTATTCTTAAAAATTTTTAATAATTTGTATCAAAAATTTTTTTTATTTTAATTATTTTTTGAAGAATATAGTATAAATTTTATAGTGAAAATATTTAGAATTTATTTAGTCTACAATTTATCAATATTAATTGTTTTAAAAAAAATTTTAAGTTTGAATCTTTTAAAAGTTTTTTTATTTAATTTTATTCCTGTAAGTATTCTTTATTTAATATTATTGAAGTTTTAAATTCAATAGATAACATAATTTATTTTATTATAAAAATTATATATAATTATTTTATTGCAAGTTTGAACTTTAATTGGAAATTGAAAATTGAAAATTTATTATTATATTAATTTTTTTTTATAATTATTTTATCGTCAATTTCAAAATTAATAGGAATTAATAAAGTTTAAATATTATAAAAATTGAATGTTTTAAAAAAATTGTTTTTTTCTAAATTTATTATTATAATAAAAAAAATTTATAATTATATATTTTAACGTAAGTTTGAATTTTAATAAGAAATTAAAAAAGTTTAAAGATTGTTTGTTTTCCAGAAACTCTTTATATATATATTTATATGTTTATTTATCATATATTTAATCAACTAAAAAAAAATTTTGAAGTTTTTTATAAAGTTTATTATATATTTAAAATTTCATACAATTTTGAAAAACGATAAAATTTGTGTATTGTTTATGCATTCGTTTTTTATATTAATAATAAAAAAATTTTATAAATAATATTTTTTAAAAAGATCTTTTTTGTACTTTTTGATCAACTATAATTTATTTTTTCATTTTTATAGAACTATCGTAAATTTGAAATTTTATAGAGAATTGAAAAATCTAAAGATTATTTTTTTATTTATATAAATACAAAAGAAACTTTTATATTTATATAATTTACTAGAAATTATTTGTTATAAATTTTGTTTTTATTATAGATATGGAATTTTATAGGGAAAAAGTGCTTTTTAAATTTGTTAATTCCTTTGAATTTATTTTTTTTTATTTCTAATAATTAATTTGAGATTTTTAATTTTACTTTTCTATTATACAAATTGTTAATTTTTATTTCGTTAATTTTGATTTTTAATTTGTTTAGATTTTTAGTTTATTTTTTAGTTTATTTTTTAATTATAAATCATTAATTTTTTTTAATTTAGTTCATTTTGAAATATTTAATTTAAAATTTTGATAAATAAAATTTGTTTAATTTTACTTGCGAACTTTTTTTTATATTTCTTCTTAACTCTTCCTGAGGAAAACGGAGAATTATTTTTACATTGATTAACTTATTACAGATTTTATAATCTTTTTCGTTTTGCTTTTAGTAAATTTTTTAATTTTCTTATTATAATTATATATACATTAATATTATAAAGTATTGTTTTTAAATATTTTTTCTTACATTTTAATATTTTAAATTTCGGTTTTTAATTGTAATAATTTTTAATTTTTTAAGGCTCCCTGCTCGAAGGCTAACATTTTTTCTAGTGCTTTAATAAATGTTTTTGAAAAACGACTTTTGATGAAGTTTTTAAAATTTGCTTATACGTTTGATGAAAATATAGACGACTGGATTGGTTAAAAATAATTATACTGTTTATATTAAATTTTATGAGTTATAATTTTTTTTAATATTTTTTGCAAATTTTGTAAGTTTGCATTTTATTAGAGTATAATTTATAAAGACTTTTTAATAAATATTATATTTATTTTATTGGGAATATATAATGTATTCTTTTCTATTATTACTTAGTTTTAATTAAACTTTTGTTTTTATAAGATTTAACAAATTTTGTAAATTTTATATTCTGAAGAGTATTAATTATAGCAATTTCTCAAATAAAATTCTTTATAAATATTGTAAATTTTGGTGTCCTATATATCGATAAATTTATTTTATATTATTATTTAATAATAATTTTAATTTCTAAATTATAACAGAATTTTAAAATTTTAATTATCTGATATCGTATTTTGATATTTCAGAGTAATAATTCTAAAATATACAAAATTTTGGGTTAACTTCTTATAGAGCATAAAATGTTTTGCAATTTTTTTTTTTTATATTTTTTATATTTTTATAAAATTTTTAATAATATAACTGCTATTTTTCTTATTTAGTTTTTTTAGATTGTAAATTATTAAATTTATTTTATTTATAAATGAATAAGTTTTAAAAAAGTTTATAAATTTTTTTTTTGACGTACACTTTATTATTTTTATTTATTTAAATTTATAATACTAATTAAAAAATAAAATTTTGTTCATTTTTGAAACTTTTTAATATTTTATATTTTGAAATTTTCGTTAAAAACTTTTTTAATATATTTATTTCCTTTTATTTTTTAAGCAAAATTAATGATTATTATAATTTTTATATATTTTTAAGTGGAAATTTCATTTTATTTTTTTTTTAATTATACAAACGATGAATTTTTTTTACTTAGTAAAATATTATATAATAAATTTTTTTTAATGATGATGAAAAACTTTTTTCTATTTTATATTAGTAAATTTATAATATATAAAAATTTTATTTCGGGAGAAAATCTTTTATAATTTTTTTTATAAATAAAACTTTTTAAATTTTTATTTAGTAATATTATTTACAGCAAAAGTTTAATGTAAAGAAAAGTTTTGCACTAAATTTTAAATATATAAATTTTATTGTTTTTCAAAGAAATTTTTTCTTAAATTTCTAATCTATAATTAAAAAATTTTAATAAAAAATTTTTATTTTACAAATTTTTTTTTATTTTTATATAATTAACGTTAACTTTTCTTCGAAATTAGTAGATTTTAATTATTTATGATAATATTTAAAGGAAACAATTTACTTTTCAATTTTCAGATTCTCTTTATTTAGATTCTTATTAGTTAATTTTATATTTTTTATTTTTTAAACTTTTTTGTAATAAATTTTTTAGTTTTATCTTTTATTAACATCTAAAATTCTGTTCTTCAATTTTTTAATTTAATAAAAATTAAAATTTGGGATCTTTGGCTTTATAGTATGATAAGATTATTAGTAATAATTTTTTTTTTACTTTTTAAATTTATTATGATAATTTATACCATTGGAAATTATAAAGAAATATTAAATTATTCCTATAAAATAAAAATTGTTTTAAATTTTTGTGAATACTTTTATCAGAGCACAAAGATCTTCCGTTCTCCGACTTCCTACATCAAAGAAAACTTGGAGACACACTCAAGTCTATAATTTTGCACGCCATTGCGCTATCAGATTGTCACGTGACAACCTACACAGGTCTTCTAAGGACTCAGCGGTTGTTATTTTTTGAAATTAAATTCAAAATTAGTAAATCTCAGGTTTTATAAATTACTAATTATTAGTTTTCTTTTTATTTTTATTAAGATACTTGAAGTCGGTTGGAAAGTACGGAAATACGCCTTTTATTATATCTTCATACGGCATGAGCGAAATAGTACAAGCGTTTGCCCGGTATAAGTTTATATAAATACATATATTTTATCTTTTTTATTTTCATTGCGTTTACGCATTTTGGGACACCGCAAATTGGCGGTGAATATACTTGCAGCTAACGAACTCTACATTTATTTTGTAATTAATATAAAATTCTACTTGGGTATTGGATACCATTTAGTAGAAGTTATATGAAAATAAGTCTTATTAGGCCCTATAAATTGGCGTTAATATAAAAATTTGTATATCTATTAAATGTTTTAAGGTAATATTTTAAACTTAAATGCTGCCATTATATAATAAACTATAGCAATGAAGCCCTAAACCAAGAAAAAAATGGTTTAGCATTGGTTTCTTGGGTACTTTAAAATGACAATCAAAAGCTATATTTTTTTTTTAGTCTTTCTGCTGTTTTTAACGGCGTTTTTATGCTGAACAAAAAAGTTAAAGCGGTAGCAATTAATAACGAAGATAACACGTGTAAGAAGGTTTTTTATTTACGCGCTGATAGATTTATCTTAGCACTTTTTTTACCTAAATAAAGATTATTTTGGATCAAGGTGAAATAATTCGTTGCCGTTATGTTATCGCTTCTTCAATTTATTTTTCTCAATGGGCAGAGCTCCACCAGTAAGATTTCATAATTTATTGTTGACTTCTTCAAAGTTTTTAGTGAATTTTGTATAAATTTCCTATGAAAATAGTAAAATAGCGCGGGCTTTCTATATTACCGCTCGAAGCATAAATTTTCAAGAGGACTACTTTTTTATAAACGACGAATATAAAAATAAACAGGTTTTATTATTACTATTATTATAATATTAATAAAACTTGCTTTCACTTAAATAATTTCTATGTAACATACTATAGAATGCATTTTTAGTTGTACCACAAAATACTAAAATACTTGTAACTGATGATTCGAGTTATGAAATTAGTAGTAACGTTTTTATTACTCAACTGTCAGAACGTTCTTCAAGTTGTCCTCAGAATTATTGTTAGCCATTATTATTATTACTCCTTGTTGCTATTATTTATGGCGGTAATATTGTAGTTATCATTTACATGCGATCTCAAAGTTTGAATCTTGATGCAGCCTTGAAGGATTTAAAGATGTTGGAGAATTATTATTTTTGCACTTCAAGTAATTCATATGAATTTATTATTGGCTAAAGTTAACTAAATAATTTCTTTTACTAAAATTAAATTAGTAACTTTGAATTTGGTGTTTGTCTAGAAAATTGTAGTACACAATGCTATCAAAAACCTCATGCATTGTATGCCGCTCGTTATATTCAAAATTGTTATAGAACAAAATCTTTTTCAAGCGAAGTTCTTCCCAAGAATTGCTACGTTATTAATAACGACCCTCCAGAGTTTGATTTTGAACCAATAATTAAAGAAGCTCAGCGGATTTTCCATCAAACTTGTCCTGATGAAGGTCTCACTTTTTTTATTATTGAACGTTTTGTCTTTTTATATTTTTTTAAAAATGTGTATTTTCTTTAGAATTTTTGCCAACAGCTCCTAATCCTGAAGACATAATTTACGATGATTAAACTTTTTTAAGTAGCACATAACCATCTTGAAAGTTGCTTTTGAAATTATTTTTTCAAAATAAAGTTGAATACATCTATATTTAATATTTTATATCTAATAGCTAATCTGTAGTAATTTATTATCAGTTATATTATTTATATACAACAAACAAATTCTCTGTAGTCTTCTTTGTTTTTGCCTTCCTTTAAAGGAAAAATAAATTTCTGTCATCCAAGAGAGCTCCACTTTTTTAAGTACTACTTTCTTTCATAAATAATTTAGTCTTTTTTTTTTCTAAGTTGAGTAGATGTCCATCTCATGCCTTCATAACTCTCATAAGGCTTTGTTATTCCCTTTTTTTTGGTTTCTAAATTTACTTGTAAGATTCGCATGTAATTTAATATAAATTCTTGAGACAATTGTATTTTTAATCAACTATAATATATTTATTTTTCTGGGCTTTAGGTACTTTAGCTTTAAACAAAATTTAAAGAGTATTTTTTAAAAAGGTTTGTTTTACTATTTTTTAGTCTCTAAAGATAATATATTTAGTAGTTTTAGACATATAAAATAGAAGTGAGACAAAACGCTGTAACGTTTATCTTAATATTTCTAACTATTTATTACTGGTAAGTCCACTAAAATTCTTGGCAGCAAAAAAGAAACTATTTAGCCCGCAATATTGAAAAACTATTAATTAAGCACTGTGTTCAAAAAGTAATTAGCATCTCAATTTTTACCATTTGCTTCTGATATATATTATGGGCTTTCTGTATTAACTCCGCAGCAAGAGCGGGCCCTTTTCGAAATTGAAGTCTTATAACTTTTCCTTTGATACCAAGATTATTTTATCATATTTGTTAGGCATGCAGCATAGTTTATCTCATTTACTTCAGAGAAATGGATATGTCCGCTACATGCATACCTCTTTAAAAGAGGCTATACGCACCCGAATAAGCCGGTTACATATTTAACGTTTTTTGTAGATATTGAATGCCATATAAAATCGTGAAGGCTAATTTACGATTTTTGGATTGTAAATTGGCCAGTTACACAGCTTAAGAGGTTGGAACTGACTACAACACTAATTAGGCAGGCTCTTAGTTAAGAATCTTGTTGGTACACCCAGTACTTGCGGTCTTAGACCTATTAAAGGGAAATTTAACTAATGTTATAGTGTACTTCATTAACTTATTAATAAATATATTTAAATAATATAACGGTATTGAAACTTAATCATGTAATAATGTTATTACTTTGCTTTAACGTTTTCATTAGTATATACTAACCAGCTGTGAAGATGAAGCGCATCCCTTTCGTTGACGGCGTAATAAACCGAAAGGGAGACGTGGCTTCCGCATCCTCAAATAATTGCAGGAATTAGATTAAGCAGATTGACTCTAAATCACGCTTGTAGTAAGTAATTACTATAAATAAAATAATAAAGCTTGTCTTTCTAATTTTGTCGAGTGGTTGTGCAGTGATCCGCTTTGACGTTTAGTAGCGTCGCTGGCCTGCTGAATTAGTTTAGATGTACTCCCACTATCTCTTTTAGTGACAGAAGTATAATAAAATATAAATTATAGTTCCTGAACTCTCACCAAAGTAGATATCGTCAGTATACAAACTCTAAAAACTTTGCGCTTCTACAAGTGTGTCTGGCAATATTTTGCCCTACTACGAGATGTCGGCCTCTGGCCTCTCAGGCCAATATTAGGGGAGATACCTGATTTATGGGAATGTTCATTCTCTAGCTTGCATTATGATCTATATTACTAACTTTTGTAGTTATTAACCATAATTTACTTTTAAGTAGTTTATCAAGTCATTTTTCAAGTTTTTTAAATTTTATTTTTAGTAATAAAATAGCAACCATTTTATATCTTAAAGACAGGCCTTACCGGTCTTGCTCCCCGTTATAGCTCTTAAAAAAGTTCTTTACAAAAACTTCCCTTGCAATTTAAATAGGTACTTTATTATCATCGCAAAGTTGTAAAACATTACTTAGCTTTTTATTTACACGAGGGTATAAAGCTACTTACCCGTATTATTCTTTCTTTACAGGGTATGTAGTATTTAATAATTTCTTGGTTCTCGATTCTAGTAAGCCGTCAACACCGTTTTATATTAAGTTCAAAGCTTACTTTGCTAATGAAGAAAACACACATTTTTATTTGAGTGTTTATGCACGATTTTTAAGTAAAGATTAGCATTTTATGTGCCCAAGGGGGAGCCTTTTGATTATAAGACGGGGGGCTTACTCAAATCTTTTGTCTCTCACTGAACTGAATAACCCATTTTGCAATAAGCAGGTTAAGTACTCAGGGATAAGGGTGATACACTAAGCAAATACATCTTTTTTTAACGTTGATGGCGGTTTACCAAGACAAGGCGGTGTTTAATATTGCTTATGTTTATTTATCTAAAAGTACATACAACGACTTTGAATGTCATGACACCAAGTTTTAGAGAATATCCGCGACCTGAAGTCTTTTGTTTGAGCGTTTATTACATTTAATAACACAGCCCTATTTCTATCTCTCGCCGGTACACCAAGTGCTCGCGGTCCAAACAATTATTAACAAGCCTTTTATAAAGTTGTGCTATATAATCTTTATCAAATATAAAAATAACCTATTATTAAGATATAAAATTGTTGTGAACTACCTCCCCACCTTTAATCTTAGACTCTTAGATAACAACTTACTTGAAGAATAGCCTGAAAAAGAAATGCCTTCACGGAACTGATCGTTCACAAATTTACAAGGGGTATATATTTTAGGCTTTTATATTAGATGTTTTAGCTGGATCTCTGAGTAAAATCTGGTGTCCACCAGCTTCTTATCGTTATGTATTTCAAAAAGGATTTAACCCTCTTACTTGGTTCCATCTCACCCGTCTTTCCATGATAGCGGTTACTTTGCCTAGTCATAAACGACCGTACTTACCACTTAATGTAGTGTTTATTTCTTTTTTTTTCGTTGTGGTGATGTCGGGTTTATAAAAGTTCACTAAAATAAATGTTTCCAAGTTTCTTTAACTCACAACAGTTAGCTCCAAATTTATTTTATACACTTGTTTTTTGTTCTCGGAGGCGTTAAATAGCTTTCCCTCTAAACTTATTTCTTATAACCCAGTCCTTAATAAAACTTTTTCTATAGTAGCTAGTTCCACCCAATTTTCACCAAAGCTCTCGAAACTAGTCTTTCGGTTTTCTTGACTTCTTTATCACAGACTTTTTTCATCTTTTCTTCGTATAATTCCTAAAATGTCCACATCATTAGTCGCTTTACAGTAATTAACGTCATGCTTTAATCAGTTACCCACTGAATCTTAACCACTGAAAAGGTTGTCTTTTAGTAACTCGTGATAACTTGCTTTTGAAGAGCACTAACGTAGGCGACACGCCTAACACGTTGGGAAGACTGTCATGACAATAAATATACTCGACCAGCACTTCAACCTCTTCCACGTGCTTTTCAAAACATCTTTTTGTTAAAGCCTTCTTTATAGTCTCCTTGATACTTTCCGTAATTTCTTTACCTTAATGATCAATATTATTCCTTTTAATAATAATTTTTAGATCCGAGTTTATAAACCAAAAATTTTTCGGTTTTTATTTCCGCAGGCTTCAACCACAATTCTAAAGAGCTTAAAAAAGATATTGGTCAAATAACGTAAGTACGATGTTTATGTTTATTCTACTTCTCGGTGGCATTAAAAAATAATCCTTTTTCTTTGGTTTACTTTCTAGTAGAAAAAGTTGATAGTATTCATTCTCTCATAGAAAAATGTTTCGGAATTTTAGAGTTAACTAGGAACGCAACAACAGTGTATCAACTAGAGACTAAATTACTATTTATAACAACCCTAAATTTTTATAGTCTGACCTTAAAATAAATCTGCAACTAATTAATACTTTTGGACCTCATTTCCTTATGTATTCTGTTTACTTGTTTACTTTAATAAAATTTAAACTAGAAACTGCCGGGTTCGAAGTTGAGCACCTTCTCAATAAAGCAACCCTTAACCCCTTATTAGACAAAAATAAAACTATTTTGTTAATGGAAGCACTCGTAGCACTTGAAAAGTGGCATGAAACTTTTAGTTGCTGAAATCCGTTTTGCCTGGCTTGACATTGAATAATTCGGAGAAAAAAAGTTCCCAGCGCGTTACTGACCTTTAACTTTACGTGATTAAAGGAAGATAACTTTGCAAAATAGTTCTTATTAATTATATGAATAATTAAATTTTCTAAGTTTTAGTTAAAGGAAAGAATCTCGCTAAGACAAAAAATCACTTAAAACTGAGCCACTGGTAAAAAAAAAATTAATAGCTTGCGCATTAAGTCACTTTTCACTTTTAACAACACAATATTTTAAACTTTTCTTTCTTATGCGATAAGTCACAATATAAATTTTAATAAGTTCATACCTTTGATCTTTTCGCTCTTTTAGCTAAGTGCTAAAATTATTGCCACTTCTGCAAACAGATATAATTGCGTTAAGAAGTTTCTTTTATGTGAACCATTTTATAATACATTTAATTAGTTCATGACTTAAACTTTACGAAAGGAATTTTTTTCCAAAACAATTAAGTGAGAAGTTTTTGATAACTAAATATCTTCTAAAACTTTGGGGAGGATTAGAATCCCTCACTACACGTATTATCCTAAGAGAGTTTCAAAGTGTCCTTTATTTTACAAAC